TTTCAATGATGTCATGTTTATGTGACCACTGTTGTAAAGTGTAAATCCATTGTAAAAAAAAATGTATAAATAAAAGACGGAAGAGAAATAAACAAATACCATGGAGTTCAAATTAGTTTGAAATGATGACGGAACAAAAAAAAATCATTCATATTTATCTATGTTACATCGGTAATTCAAGATGTGTAGGTCATTCTGAGAATGTTCCACAGGAAGCAAGCAAATCAGAGAATAAAAAGATAACATCCAGCGTATGATGTGATTGTTGGCTTGAGTCACCCACGAATCATTTGATTCTAACCGGAAGTGCAATTGCTGGCTGCAGCTGTCCACCATAAACGTTTGTAGCATGTGCATTCGTTCTGTACACTGTTTTCCAATTAAACTGACTTGTTGTCGGAAATAAGGAAATCTGTTTTTGTTTTTTTTAACATGCTGATAGATCAAATCGTATCACATGCATGGGCAATGCTTCCTCCGGACCGGAAATGTGCTACTTTCGTGTATTGCCCGTGGAGGTAAGGAAACTAGACTTCAAAATAAAAACATGAACATCTGTTTGTTGTGCACCACATTTTCATTGCTTTATGCACTTCTCCTTACAGAATGGCTTCTTTTTTATTGTTGTACAAGCACATTTTTATAGCCCTGAAGGACATGTTATTCCATATTATTTAAACATCATTACAGGAATTCAAGGAAATTTGTGAAAACAGATTAATGTCTTCAACGTTTATTCAAAATGCTATCTTTGGATTCTAACAACATATACGTTTTAATCCATTTGATTAACTAAAACTTTGTTTATTTTGCTGGAGTTTGTGCACGTCGTTTTTGCTAACTTGATCCTACACTTCCCATCAATTTCATCGAGGAAGACTTCCGGTGGTTTGTCATGGCGGTGGCATGGTGAATTCTACAGAAAGGGAAAAATACTCGCCCCTTTCGTCCTTTCTCATCTATTCAGGGCATTTCTCATGCATAAATAAACCTGTCAGCTCCGGCTTCATACCTTGGACTTAGCCATATAGTTTTACTCGCCGGCCATGGCGGCTCACAAACCAGTGGAATGGGTCCAGGCCGTGATTACAAGATTTGATGAGCAGGTAAGATGGACTGATTCAGTAGATGGGTGTTGCAAGTTTCGGAAACCCCGAGCTTCCATCTGTTCTTGTTGATGTTCCGTGTATAGTGGTGTAAATGTTTTTAAAGGCTATCCCATCGCCGTCAGGTGTAGTCGCTGTAGAGAAACATGAACTGTGTTGGGTGTCCTATCTGCAAAACACTGAAAACGGGGACCATCGAGCTAGCAGCGTCTCTACGATCAATTAGCATATTTCCCCCACATTTCCTCCGGGATTTGTTAAGAGTTATCCATTCTACTACCAAATCATCCAAAATAAGGTGATACGCCGGGGACATGTCAACATTCTCACGCTTCGCTGGACAATTGAAAGTTCCATTAGCTAGCGGTCGTTTCATGACAGCTAGGAAGCTAGCTTTAGCAGGCCTAGTTTTATATGTAAACAAATGAACTTACATTATTAAGTTTCTGGTTTGCGAGAAAACCCAGCAAGTGGGAGAAACAATCAACTACCCCGTTAGTTGGTAACTAAAAAAACACTCTGTGTTTGTGCTGGATACAGTAGGTAAAACAACAGCAACGCCTGTTATGCCTTTTATCAGTGAGTTATCACTATCACTTCGTAGTGGCCAGGGCGTTTTGATTTCTTCTTCTCTTGTTTTTTAGTGAAGCCTTGTCATTTTAGTGTTTACATTTTACAGCATGTTTTTTGTGTGCAAAACTCGCTTAATCTGTTGTTAAACTAACACCTCGGCCCTACATTTTTGTGCTCAAGTAACATCAAATGACAACTTTATGTGGACAAAGTCAATTCTTTGGCCATTTAAATAAAGGCTCTTATTGAGGGGAAATATGTCAGTTGGAATTATTTGGGAATTATTTTCAGATTTTATTGCAATGCGGTTTAGTTAAGTTTTTAAGTCTCTACTTGTTGTGGTAATTGTCAGAGATTATGACTTGTAGCAGGGGTTTAACAGCTCAGCTTGGATTACTATAGATGGGAGAAAGTGGCTTTGGGTGTTCGATCCACTTCTTAGTTATTGTTACCCTAAGCTCCAAATAAAACCCTCAGCAAGGTGAGTGTAGTTCATCTAATTTGAAACACTTTTTGTCATTGATGCTAATTTGTATCTTACCCATAGTGTCAAAATGTTTTTACTGTTTTTGATAAATCAATAATCCTTCACACTCCGGTCTGCCTGGCAATCAACTGGAGTAAATTCAATGATGATAATAAGAATATTGGTCATAAATAGTTATAGCAATAGTTATATTAAAGCATCTCAGCCTCTTTGTAAAGTAAATCCCAAGAAAAGTAAGAAACATGATTACATGTGCAACCACATAAATTGAGTTAACTTTCGTGACTACAAGTACATTGCAGATGACGCTAAAGACGAAATCAACTGGATAATTATTTAGTTTCTATGTTGTTTGTAGCATGTGCAATTTAGTCCATTGTGTTAAACAGCTTGGGTTAGGGTCTTCTTTTCCATTTTTCTGCTTAAGGGACTCTGATGCCGACAGCTGATTTGTATTAGGTAGTGTTAGTTTCTAGTTTAAAGCTGGAATTTCACATTTTCCCTTTTTTTTCTTCACTTTTTTCTCCACATTTTTTCAATCTATTATTGTTGGGTCGAAATGTAAACCTCTGAACTAGTTTTGTTTTTAATTTTTTACACTGTTCTCTACAACTGAGCTGAAAATCCCAGAGTTCTTACACTTTTAACACTCATCATTATTATGTCCATATAAAATACAGTATTCAGTTATGGTCTCAGATTTTTGTGGAATAGATACTACATATTTATTAAATAATAGTTTTTAACTGAGCATGGCGAGTATCCATGGTTGATGCTGACTAAGTCGAATTATTATTGTTGCATAATACTATTAATAGTTCAGTTTTTAATCGGTAGGTTTGTCTTCAAAGGCATCAGTTTGCAACATTTGGGATGCACATTTCATAAAGAACTGCAAGGTGTGCCGAGAATAGCTGAGTCAGTGCAATAAAGCTATGAACAGTCATGACTTTTTACGATAAAAAACTGATAACCGTTGATTGTCTTTAAGTTGTTGGCTCTTCACATCCGGTTTGCCTGTATTTCGCTTCATGTGCTCACATGTACTAGATTTGAAAGAAAATGTCTAATGAAGCTACTCTCATCCACACATTTAGCCGTTTTGTTGTCAGGTGGCAAAACAAGTCTTCTTTTGACAGAAGATGTTGAATGACTACCCTCTGAGGATTTTCAGCCAGCTGTTTCATATTGTGGAAAAGAACAGAGAATCACAGATGACAGCACAGCTCTGTTATGCATACTTCCGAAAAAAATACTTCAGCATTTTTTTGTGTCCTAATAAAACAGGAAAACTATTAAATCAGTAAGTTATTAGGGAGGAAAAAACACAGAATTGTATTTATAACTAAAAAACAAAAACAAAACAAAAAGATACCCAGTGAATTCTACCCTGTCTTTTAAAAAAAAAAGACTGATAGATTATTGGCGCATTAATGTTTTATGTTAAATAAGTTATCCCGCTGGTAGCTATTGGCTAAAAAAGAAAAGATTCCCCTTCCCCGCCTAAGTGGCTTAGTGAATGCAACATCATGTTTTGCTTTGTGAAATGTACCGGGAGGCTCTTAACTTCCAGAGATTTTTTTTCAAAAACCTAGTGAGCATTGAAATAGCAACCCAAAAAAATGCTATCGAAGACAGATTTCTTTCGTTACACATAATATGCATGCTCTTTTGTTTGATAAAGAGAAGATAAAGGCAATAAATTAGCATTTTTTTAAAGGTTTATTTTTTTTTAAGAGAAAAAAAACTTTGTTGGAGGAAACGACCATGCTGTTGTGAATAAAAGGGCAAGATAAACAGTTTTTCAAAACTTAACTGCCACAGAACGAAACATCTATGGGAGTAAAAACTGTCAAACTTCAATTAAAATATTAGAATGATCCCTGCTTTGCGTCTATAATTGCTGTTTGAGATAATTGATGGTTAAAGAAAATCTTCTCTGCAATCACCCAGTTTTTAAAACATTTAATGGATGACTTTAGAATAATTTGGAGCTTAAAAAAAGAAAAAACTACACATTTATCCCTGTAAAAGACAGCAGGATGTTTTTGTTGCTGACGAAGTCCTTTGGTCGTCCTTTACTGACGCCACAGTTTACACAGAACTGACCGTCAGCTGTGTGGATGCTCTCATATTAATGTTTAATATGTTGCGATATTGTAGCATTAACACCACACTGCGTTAAACGTCTCTCCACTGTGAATACCCAGGACACAACAACCTTTTTTCTTAATTGTTTCTTATGTCCACTGAAAGCGGAAAGTCCTCTGATTGTTGATGCTTCATGATCGAAATGCGTAAAATGAGTTCACACATAATTTGTAGAGATTGTTTAGAATGAAACACAAAGCCTTCTGGAGGAAAGTGTCAAAAAGTTATTATGGCACCAGCATTTCCTCCCAGAGCAACTTTGCCCAACCGACCGAGAGACAAACGGATGGGGGAACAAAGTCCCCAAATTTTAGATTCATGGCCAGGAAACTCCCCAGACCTAAATTCCGTTGAGAAGTTGTGGTCGCATCGTAAAGAGGCGGGTGGACAAACAAAAACCTAAGTATGATTTGTGCGAAACTGGGCAGCCATCGGTCAGGAGTCGGCCCAGTGGTCGATTACCACAATGTAAGTGTTGATAAAAGCCCTCAAAAGTTACGAAATGCTGGTAATTATGTTCTAGTATCCAAAAGATCTAAAAACAATAAAGTAGACATTGTGAAAATCAACATTTGTGTCGTTCTCAAAACTTTTGAACATGAACATTGCGTTGACATTCTTTTGTTTCTTTTGTTTTTTCTTACTAGCTTCCCATCAAAGTTGGACATCAGAACACTCACAGTAAAATCAGTACAGAGCACAACAAGGAATGCTTAATCAACATCTCCAAGTACAAGTTCTCCCTTGTCATCAGTGGCCTCACTACCATCCTCAAGAATGTCAATAACATGGTGAGTGGCATCTATCTTGTATTTCACGAAAAAAAAGATGTGGACAGGTGTAAGATAAAGTTATTAGTTTTTCCTTTTACTTGGAGTTATGCCTCATTGCCCTTGAGTTAACGTTTAACATGGGAATATTATATAACGTGCGCAATCAGTGTTTAAAGACATAGGGTTGCATTCTAATGTGGAAACTGCTAAATCATCTAAGAGTTAAATGCAAAGATTTATGCACAGACAGGTGTAATTGCTATAAGCTCAAAGGTAGTGATGGCAATCGGTTTTAAGCAGGTGTAAATGGGTTTCTTTGGTTCCATACAAGCAGCATTCTTCAAGCAGAGATCTTGGAGTAACGAGGCTTGGCATTCTGGAATGAGCGGATATTATTTCTACAATGATTAGACTAACTTACATTTTTAATTCTATTATTAAACATAGTTAATATATGATTTCACAATGAAAACATATTTTAGATATGTCATGAATTCAAACTGATAATAAACATCACGCTGCATTTAGAGTTACATTTTTCATGGTAACTTTAAGTAGATCTTTAAATACGCCTAATAATGATTATCATCAGATTTCTTTTTCCATTTTATCCACCAATACCAATATTAGTGGAGCATTAAGCAGCCTTACTAATTATCTTTATCTCTCTACAGGTTGTTATGTTTGAATTTAAATAAATAAATATGTGAGCAGCATTTAACCAAATAAACTTCAAAATAACAGTTAAATGGAATATGATAACAGTTAAATGGAATATATTATCTGACAGGAAATTACTTAAACCTTTAAAAAAAAGAAAATTTCTAAGTAAACGACGATAGAGTGAGTGAGAATTAAATTAGCTCACTGCGTTTGGTTGAGTCAGTCTCACTGTACTCGTAGGGTCTCTACATAAAATTCAAATCAGTAGCGGTACAGTGATAAAATATTTAAACTCTTTAAGTTTTAAATTAAAATCAGACCAAAAATGGTTCCATTAACAGCAGACAACATTAATAAGCAGGCTAACTTAAGCCAATTGCCCAAAGTTTAATTAGTTAATCACACATAATGTGACTACTAAAAAACAAAAGTATGGTTATGTTCAATGAAAAACAGAAATTTGGGTTCAGCAGCCAGATTTATTTTCTTTACTGGTCCTATCTTCTTATGAAGGTATAAACAGAAACAGATATATTTAAGGATTTAACATCCGAACAGTGTTTTTTTTTGTTGTTGTTTTTTTAATCTTATTTTTTCTTATGTTGACACCTTTTAATTTGAAGGTTGTAGGTCTCCACTCATATTTTGAGAATTGGGGAGAGCTATAATTCATGCCACTTTCTTCACAGCGGATATTTGGAGAAGCCTCTGAGAAGAATCTCTACCTCTCCCAGCTCATCATCCTGGACACACTGGACAAGTGCCTGGCTGGGGTGAGAGCTCTGCCAATTTTACTTTTCTGCCTACAACTCCAAACCAACTTTATGAACTCAGTGCAATTTTTCAGATTAGAATGCGGAATGAATGTTAGATATTCTTTCGCCTATTCTGGCTTTAAAAAAGGCTTGACTTCTTCTGCTCACAGACTTTGTTTGTCCAGTAGGTGCTAACTTTCTGATGTAGCAGTTGACAGTTGTCAGCTTTGCACAACAAACCTTTTAATGGACTTCTTCTTTTCTGTTGCCTCCTTTAATGTGACCAAGTTTGCTATTGAACACATGCACACATTCCAGTTCAAACATCCAGCCAATGAACCTGTGAAGTGAGAGCCACTTTTTCTGCTACATTTACGGTATAAGAAGCTTTATACCACAATACTCCACTAGGTGGCTGCTTGGCTCAAATAGTCACCTCAGATTCCTTGAAAAAAAAAAAAACTGTGGACAAAAAAAGTTGTCCTTGGTGCATTTAGATTATCTCCATATTCATTTTTGCTAAAATGAAATACAAGACGCACACATTATGTTTGAACATTGATAAACATATTTATGACATTTCATCGAACCATTGAAAAAATGTGTTTGATGGCATAAAGAATATACTGCTAACATGTGTGTATGTATAAATGTTTGTATAATATATTCCGCACTATAAGGCAAATCCGAATATAAGGCGCGCCTTCAATGAATGGCATAATTTGAAAAAGTCATACATAAGGCGCATAGAATAGAAGCTACAGTAGTGGCTGGGATTGCGTTATGCATCCACTAGGTGCAGCTGCGGAGACCTAATATAGCTTTAAATGGTTAACTGTATGTAGTAATTTTCCGACTTTTAACTTGAATGCTTGTACTGGGTTAGGCAGGGAAATTTATTGGCACACCAGCCCCACCAAGATTCTTTTTCACCAGCCGCCACTGAGGTGCGCTAAAGAGAATGTCAATAAAACAGTCAGAGAAGTCAGTCAAACTTTTTTAATAGAATACAAACCAGCGTTCTGACAACTGCATTCACTCCAAATATTAATAAATGGCTGTTTTATTATTTTTCCCGAGGTGATTTCAGTGACGTAGTGTTTTTGCGACACAGTTTATCTTTTAACAACCACAATGTATGATAGGTAGTGCAACATTTTTATCACGTAGTGGAGGGAACTTTTCCTCAATTCAGTAAACACGTAAAAGCTACAGATTTACGGAATGATGCCATTTTAGTTCTTAGATTTAATAGCTGCATTCAATACAGTTGATCATAACATTTTGATATCTTGCTTAGAGAATTGTGAAGGCATCTGGGGTACTGCTGAAGAGTGTTTGCATTTGATTTCAAATAGTACCAAATTCAGAGAACTTTTTGTTGGGACTAGGTGATTGCATATCCTCTGGTCTGTTGCTGTGTGGGGTCCCACAGGGCTCGATTCTTGGACCTCTGTTATTTTCCCTGTATCGTCTTCCCCCTTGCTCAATTTTCAGAAAGCATACCATTGCTTTTCATTGCTATGGAGATGATACTCAGGCTTATGTGCCCCTAAAACAGGAAAATAACTTCTGCATGCAAGGTTTAAATCAATGCTTCAAGTGATTAGAAGTCTGGATGGATTTTGATTTTTTTAAAATTTCAATGAAAGTAATACTGAGGTGATCATTTGACTTCAAAATGACTTCAGAACGGTAATCCACACCTTTTTACAACTTGCCTGGATCACTGTAATTCTTTGCACTTTGGAGTAAGTAAATTGTCCCTATTGACATAGGAGAGAACTTATTGCTCCCATTTTTTTCCTCTGCACCTCACTGTCCATTTCCTGCTTTTAAAATTGATTTTGTTACAATATCTTTACATGTATTAGATATTTCCAGACCTGTCAGTGGGACAGGGAAGGACTTAGTGCAAAGATAAAGAAACCACCCAGAAAAGGAGAAATATTGAAAGAGAGAGAAAAAAAAGACAACAAAACCATGCAAACAGCTGTTATATCTGTAGAAAACAGAACATCCTATGGCCGCTGTGGGCAACCCAAGAAAAGAACCATCAGGAGCACCTTCAAGCGGATACAGGGAAAAACACAGAACCAAGCAACAAAACAAAGCACAGGCATACAAACATCTCTGGAACATGCACAGGAAGCGTTAAGGGGGATAAAGAAGCATGTGTCCGGGTATATGAATGGGCGTGGGAGCAGAAGCATGCAAAACAGCTCCTGTCATTTCACTTTCAGATAGCTTCGTGCTACATTTAAATGCGCTCTAGCAAATTGTTGCCACTTTTTTTCAGTTTCTTGAGCATCTTATGGGGGGATTCATTCGCCAGTCAGCTTTCTCACAGCTCTTTGTATTATTTGGATAAAAGTTTGGTTAATCTGTAGTTGGACTATGAATTGCATTTAAGCATTCAGAAAAAACAGCTCTCTGAATGATCAGATGCCTGTCAAATGTATCCTTTTTGTTATATTAATGAGGACACAGAGTTGCAGGAAGGACTCAACTCCCTGTGCTAGCAATGCTAGTAATGGAAAAGATGAATATATATATGCATGTCTAAACATTAAATTAGGTACTGTAGTACTTGTATTTGTTTGTTAACCTATAACTGGGTAAGGGTTTCAACATGGGAGATTACGTTACACTAAAACAGTCAGAGGCCTGTCATTTATTTATTTTTTATTTAGTTTCTGCCAGTGGAAAAAAAAAAGAAGCCCCTTTTGTACTAACGATTTTCTTTTCTGCCTTTTCAAACAAGCAATCTAAGGATTGCTTGCGGCTGGATGAGACTATGCTGGTCAAACAGCTGCTTCCAGAGATCTGCCATTTCATCCACATGTATCGGGAGGGTCACCAGCACGCCGCCGAGCTGCGTGCCTCGGCCTCGGCCGTGCTCTTCTCCCTCAGCTGCAACAACTTCAATGCCGTCTTCAGCCGCATCTCCACCAGGTAATTTATTTACTCATTTATTTAAGATTCATAAAGTCGCACGGTTGCCCTTCTGTTGTAACTTTCCATCGGCCTTTTCAGGATCTAGTCATCTTCAGTGACCAATTCTTTAGTCTTTAGAGAATATTAACAAAAGTACAAAGAATGCCAGCATCTCGTTTAAAAGGGTGAGAGAGACATATGTATTTTTGATTACATAATCATGGCTGAAAAGACAAATGATGATCACAAGTGAAGGAGTAAAACTCACTATTGCAGATGTACCGTACAACTGCAAATTCAAATGCTTTGGAAATTTGACCCATTGCCATGTATGAACTTCAAGCCATCCACTGTCATATAAGCCTAAGAGTGGAAACCGTCATGGACGGTCATGACTGTATTAATCCTTGCCTTGCTTTGCTTTAGGCGTTGAAGAAGCTATTTGATCATGCCTGTTTATTGGGATGAACCTTTCAAAACTGAACACTCCCGTCCTCAAATCATCAAGAATTGGTGTTACTCACACAACCCATTAGCTTTGTAAGACTGTCATCAAATTCTAGATTTTTCTTTCTATGCACAAATATATACAAGTGGTCAAAACACTGAACTTTCTTCTTGCGAAAGTTGAGACCTAAAAAAAAAAAGACAAGTTACATTTTTTTTTACGCAACACTTTGCATGTGGTAGCTTTGATCGCCCTTTGACATAAATATGCGATTGTTGAAGAAAAAAGAAAAAAGCTCATGTTCTTTGGGGTCACACTGGAAAAGCCGTTTGACCGCAGATTTTTTTCTCCACATTTATTGTTACGCTCAAAATCAGAACTCTCTTCACCTCTTTGACTGCATCCAGGAGCACAGCATTAACGGCCGTTTGTCTCCGCAGGCTGCAGGAGCTGACCGTGTGCTCAGAAGACAACGTGGACGTTCACGACATCGAGCTGATGCAATACATCAACGTGGACTGCTCCAAGCTGAAGAGGCTGCTGCAAGGTATGCTCCCACTCTTTATGGCCGCTTCCCATTCAAACAACGCCTTATCGGAAACGACAAGGTCTTGATCAAGCCGCCGGGTTGCGTCAGTGTTGTCATGTAGTGTGTGTGGTGTGTCAGCTCCGAGTTGAATCTTTCATTTAATATACTATGTTGGAATAAAAACACAACATTGTCCATTGTGTGACATTTATATTTTCTTAACCAGCTCAGGCGTCAAAGCAGTTAAAACTTGCAACGCACTAAATAGCTTAATACAGAGGTGACGCTCTAAAAATGACCACTCTGGAGTTTGATCTGTACAAAACGGTGTTCTATTTATCATTTCCGTCCAATCTTTGCATAGATATCTGAAAATCTAAGCATTGTTGTCCAATGCTTAGGCAGACATTTTTTACGTTGACCGCCCAAACGATGACGAAACTATGCCGTTGGTAGACAGTTGAAAAGCATTCTTAAGATATATGGAAATGTAGAGTTTTCTATTGTGCTGTTTTTTTCCCTTCTTTTTCAGAAACAGTGCTGAAGTTCAAAGCTCTGAAGAAACCTGCCCAGCTAGCAGTGATCAACAGTTTAGAGAAGGTACTTGTTTTTGTTGTTTGTTTTCGGTATAGTATGCGACATTTGAATGGCTGTCAAAAATAATTTAGCTTTTTGTCTGGAGGGATTGTCAGTTCCTGCAAATAGCTGAATTGATCCTCCGTTTTTTCTACCAACAGGCATTTTGGAACTGGGTGGAAAACTACCCGGACGAATTCACCATGCTATACCAGCGCCCTCAGACAGATATGGCAGGTATGAATGGGTTCAGACTGGTCAGTCAAATTTTGATAACGGTTTTCAGTCTGTCCTGTTTGGCACCAACTCTGACGCAATGCACACTTAACACTCACTTCTACCTCTGCTAGTAGCCAATATGGTGTTGATATTTGAGCGTGGATCCGTCCCTCTTTTTGAGACTAAAAAGAAACAGAGTAGTCGATACAGGCTAACTGAAATGGCCAGTTGTTATGTTCATAATGTACTTCTTTGTTATGAATTTGATGCTCTTATCTTTTACTTCAGGGGATCTAGTTGTTTTCCAAAAATGAAAGTTTTTTTAAAATAATTTGTTTTCTAAAAATGTCATTTTATGAGTTTCTCTTAATGAATACTTTATGCTATTTTCGGAAGTTAGATAAACCAGGAGTGATCTGTGTGAATGTGAACAATTTAACTAAAATTACACAAATAAAAACTAAAAACCTTCATCCACTCCTTCTTCCACCTGAAACTATTTTCCTCCAATTCAAAGCATTTTATCAAACCTGTTTTGAAAATGGTAAAACTGAGTTGGTTGTATCCTTGCCAGTGAGTGTGTGTGTGTGTGTGTGTTTGTTTTTGAATACACAGAAGCTGCTGAGAAGTTGTTCGACTTGGTGGACAGTTTTGCCGAGAGCGCCAAGCGGAAAGCAGCCGTGTGGCCTTTGCAGATCATCCTCCTCATCCTCTGTCCAGAGATAACACACACAATCTCAAAAGACACAGTGGAAGACAGCAAGGCCAACAAGGTGTGTGCGAAGGGGGGTTCGGGGGAAGAACCCGCAGACAGAACACAAACTCGAGTCCTCGTTCACAATCCTTTTACTCTCCTGTGGTGTCTGCAGAAGCTCTTTTTGGATAGTTTGCGAAAAGCTTTGGCGGGACAGGGGGGAAGCAAGCAGCTGATGGAGAGTGCTGCCATCGCCTGTGTAAAGCTGTGTAAAGCTTCTACCTACATCAACTGGGAAGATCACTCAACCATTTTCCTTCTGGTCCAGTCCATCGTCATGGATCTCAAGGTCTGAAAAAAGAAAAAGAAAAGATGCTTTAAAAAGGAATCTGAACGGCTATCTTTATCATTGATTTTCTTTTTTAATTAGATGAGAACACAAGCTGTCTTGAGATTAAGAACATAGAACATGTATGTGTGCTCATGAATGACCATTACTGATGTTCTCTTGTTTGACCAGGCTCTGCTGTTCAACCCAGCCAAACCGTTTTGGAGGGGCACAGGCAGTCAGAACGCAGATATGGAGCTAATGACCGACTGCTTTGTTTCCTGTTTCCGTATTAATCCTCATAATAACCAGCACTTTAAGGTAAACTTAATAAGTAGCCTTATTTATTTTATTTTTAATTGCAGTTTTACATCCATGATATTTACTTCAGATACGCTGAATGCAATTGGTTGATCTTAATTATATTCTTGTGGAAAGGCGTGTTATTGCTATTAATTTGCAGGATGAATCATAATGTTGTACACAGATTTGCCTAAACATTTTACAAGGGCGCTCTTATGTCCAAATTTAGAAGTGCTTAACTTTTCATGTTGACTTGATCAGGTCTTCGACTGAGCTCGTTCTCAGAAGTGTTTCCTCTTTGTCTTGTAGGTCTGTTTGGCTGCCTCCTCCCCCTCTACCTTTCACTTTGTCCTGGTCAACTCACTGCACAGAATAATCACCAATGTAAGTCTGTTGCCGCGCCTTTTGTTCCTGAACGCATTCCACTGTGATTTGCCTTGCTCCTAAACGTTGCGTTTCCTGCTTTCAGTCCGATCTAGACTGGTGGCCTAAGATCGACGCAGTGTACTGTTACTCCGGAGAGCTCCGCTATATGTTCTCAGACACTCTCAACCGAGTTATCCAAGGCACTGGCAGTCATGCTCCACTACGCATGACACCGGTGAGCTTACAGTTCATACCACTTTACATCATTCAGACTCTGGAAGTATTCTCGGGACAGTAAGAGGCAGTCTGAGAGTATCAGGACTAATCACCACGAAGGACGATTCCGCCTTTTTTTAACCCTACATGCACCTGTTTTCTTAATACAGATAATTAAAAAGAAAAAATCCTATCTATAAAGCAGGTTCTAAACACAGAATGCGTCAGAAATTAAACTTTTTTTTGCTGAGGAACATACTAAATTATCTATAACCTACAGGGTTCATAAGGGCTTTAGGAGGATGAATTTCAATATTAAATTGAAATTAAATCAGCAATATTTTGATATATAAAATCATTTTCTTGAGGAAATGATTGATGGACCATGGACGAAAACTCAACCCATCTCAAAAGACGACCGTGACTTTGCTGTTATCGAAACTTTCCTTTTTTTCACTGACGTGTTGGATGGATGTCTTTTTACTAGTATGAATAAATGGATCAATATTTAAAACACTGGGAAACAGAAAAATCTGTGAGCGTCCTGTTTATTACGTTAAGGAGTGGTTTAGGTATGTTTTTGGTTTCCTTTTGCAGAGTCTGACCTTCATAGGGAAGAAGACCACCAGCCTTAAATTCAAAGAAAGAGCCACAGACCTGGACACTCGAAGTTACAAGTGCCTCCTTCTTGCTCTGGTCAAGCTTATCCACGCAGACCCCAAACTCATGTTGCATGTAAGTCCAAATCACGCTTTTAAGAATCTTTATTCTGCCAGATCAGGCTTTGGAATTTGAGCTTTTTGCTCGACTGGAAGAACAGTGTTTTGAAATTCAATCATATGCTTAACTGGTGATTTATTGTGTTTGCACCGTAGAATCCAGTAAAGCAAGCTCCAGAGATGCAGAGCAGCACAGCAGAGCTCATCATCGGCCTTGTGCAGCTTGTGCCTCTAAACACTACCACCCAGCTCTCACAAGAAGCCATGGAGGTCAGAAAGCACACCCATCCTGTCTTTCTTTATTTATCCTCATGCCTGTCATTTTATCTCAAGTGACCACAGTCTTGTGAACTTATTTTTCCTCTGAGGTCCATTACATACAGATTAAAGAAGTACAACAGAATAACTGTGAATAATTGTTATAAAACACAAAAAATGTTTATTGCCATCAATTGAACTCCCCCTCCTCACCCTTCCCTTATTTGGGTGTAGGATGAACTGACTACTCTAAAAAAAGCTTTGGAATCAGACCAATTCATGAAAAACGAAAGGCCTTTTTATAATTTGAAAAGTTGATGGCAATAAGTTAAGAATAAAAGTCTGTGTTTTTCCTTTTTTTCCCCTCACAGGTAAAGTCATAACTCTCCAAGCTGTTGTGACCAATCTCTTATTCTAAATTAATACAGGGTATTTGCATTGTCTTCTCTTCTCTGTTCAACTCAATGCCTTGCTTTCTGTGCTGTTGATTTTTTTCCCCAGGCTCTGTTAGTTCTACACCAGCCAGAGACCATAGAGCTGTGGAATCCCGATGCCCCCATAGAGACGTTTTGGGACATCAGGTACACAGAAAAATAAATGTCAAGTACCTGAGTGTTGTGCGTTAGTGTAGCCTGGAACCTCCAGTGATGTTAAGTCTTGTCTTGTTGACAGTTTCCCCAAAAATTGTTCATATTGCTGACAATTTAGCCTTTTATTTTAAGAAACGCTCCTGAATGTGAAGTTTGTTAGGTCTAAGTTTCTATGGAAACCAACACTGCCTTTAGTACATTACATAGTGTAATGTATTAGTGTTGAATGTTACTATTTAAAATATTGATATATAAGAATGGAACATTGTGTAGCCTGAAATTATTACAACTTGTGAGCAACCTTAGCATAATTAATTTTATTTGAAAAAAACAAAAAAAACACATGATCTCTCTATTATTTTATTTCCATTTTACAAAAGCACCGAGCTGTATTCGAAGCAAAGTTGAACATTACTACCCTGAATAATATAGTTCATATTTGTTTAACGCATGTGCGAATATGTGAATCAATAAAAAAAAAAATCCTTCTGAGTCTTTACAGCCTGCTTGATGTAGCTGATATTTTTGCAGTCATCCAAATTTGAGACATTTACACAGTCTTTTTTTTTCTTTCTTCCCCTTCAGTTCACAGGTGCTCTTCCTAATCTGCCGCAAACTGATAAACCAGCAAATCGCTAACGGGACGGAAGTTCTAAAATGGCTGAGGGAGATTCTCATCTGCAGGAACAAGTTTTTGCTCAAGAACAAGGTGCCGGCTCTCTTTTCTCGTCACGTTATTTGGCAGTTCAGATTTAAAAGCCAGCAATGCGTTCATTTGCCGCCATTGTTCCTGTGAGAACACGTCATACGTGGACTGTAAATAGTCTTAGTAGTTTTCTATGCTCAGTGCACATGAACATTGTTACGCCTGAATTTCCCCCTTTGCAGAACATTAAAGGCTGTTCCTCTTTCTTCTCCTTTTTCTTTTTGTGTTGACTCTCCCCCCCCCCCCGTCCTTCCTGATTTCAGGAGTGTGCCACCATCGGAGGCGGAATTCCCATTTGCCGGCAGGCGCAGACGAAGCTGGAGGTGTGCCTCTACATGTTCTTATGGAGCTCAGACACCGAGGCCGTGCTCGTGGCCATGTCCTGCTTCCGCCACCTCTGCGAGGAGGCCGACATCCGCAGCACGGCCGACGAGGTCCCCGTCCAGACAATCCTGCCCAACTTCCCCACCTTCAGTGAGCTGGCCTCCGTCAGCAGCATGATGGGAACAGGTCAGTATTGTCCGTGTACTCTGAATATCTGTCTGAGTGCCACCACAGGTCAAGTCGAGGTCTGCATCTCGGAACTGGTTTGACTCGTCAAATTCTTATTGTTAGTGGAAGCATATTATGGGCTGTTCATTTAAAGTCATCTTAGTTTGTCTTTTCATCCCCCTGATACATTTTTAAACATGTTTAACATTTTTCTAGGTCACCAATAACAGCCTCTGTGCTGCAAGTGTCATGTTGTAAATTGCTTGTTTTGGCCCAAACTCTCTTTATAGTGTAATCGATGGCTTGGTTAGCTCTTTTTGTGCTCATCCGTGAAGACTTCCACGGATGTTGCCTGTTCCAGAAAGTTCTGTCCTACTCCTTTTCAGCAGTGGATGTAATATTTAATGAGTGAAGATAGCAATAAACAAAAGCATGCTGGGAGCATCAGCAGCGACTATCGTCACTCACTCCCACTACTAGATCTGCAAATAATCCTCAAGATTGTCTGCCACATTCACAAACAGTGATCTGTCTGAGATGTTGTGTATCACGGTATGGCAAAGTCTGCAAAAAGTGTGGAGTCAATGTTCCTGTCCATTGTGTTTCCCACTTTCAGATGTGTGTCCCTGTTGGGTTCCGGTTCCAGTTGATTATTTTTTTAGAGGCTCAAATAAGGGGTCAATTTTTAGGTTTGTGGATGAATTTAGAATGGGGTTAAATTTACTTTAGAATTAACAGAAAAAAATACAGAGTGATGCAGGTGTAACAAACTAGTTGGAATGAAAAGAAGTCGTACAGCACACTTGCATTAAAAATAAACAAACTTGAGCTTGTGTGAAGAGACAAAATTTGAGAACATGGAAGAAAAGCTTCTCACAACTTCTCCAAGTATGCTGAAAAGCTTTTCTTTTGTTGGCAGAAGACAGACACAGGAAAAGACCTTGTACTCTATGACTGCAATGTCATGGTGACTCAAACAAAATCATACCTGGCAGTCGTTCTTTTGGTCTCTTAACCTATCTGTATGAATGCAAATATCGTCCTAACTGTCTTCAGACATATTCTGACTTGGATCTAGACATACTAGGTTTTAGCTTTTCAAGCCTCCAGGAAGATGCTTCGTCTCCAGAATAAAGTATTGCCATACGAGTACAGTCTTCCATTTTCCCAAAGGATGCGTTAAAAAAAAAAAACTCTCACCTTCTGCCTCAGAGTTCTGAATACATATTATGAAAGTATACATGAGACAGACAGTAATAGGCCTCTTTGAATAAGGTATAAAGTGGATGGATGACTATAGAAATGATGTTATCTTACGACTTTGGTTCTTAATTTTACAGGTCGTTCTATCTTGCAAAAAAGAGTTATGGCGTTGTTGAGAAGAATAGAGCACCCAACACCAGGAAACATTGAGGTACCATTCAGTGTTCCAGTTTCAGCAGGTTGATCTGTTTTTTTGTTGTCTTTTTTTAAAGTATGCAATACTTTTTTATTGTGCCATCGCTTTTTATTTGGTTGATGTTATGATTACTTAAGTTACTGCTTTGTCATTGCTGTGAAAGTAATGGAGGAATTGTCAGTTAAATGTTTTACAGGGTGTTTGGTTTAGATAATGTGCTGGAATGGTTTTGTTTATTGAACATCAGCCAAGCTTCATCATTAAACGTCCTCTGTTTCCCCATTCACTGTGTAATTGGCAATGAAGGCTTGGGAGGACACCTATGCGAAATGGGATCAGACCACCAAACAAATACTCAACTTCCCCAAAAACAAGGCAGATGATGGACAGGTAAGCATCCCTTTACAGTTCCAAAAACATCCACTTACACGAATACCACAGCCCCCATCAGACTGCTTTTAATTTAACTGTCATGAGTACTGATTTAAATTTATGTAACAGCACATGGCCCAAAGATGGATGTGGTGATAGTGATGAAATGGGGGAAAAAAAGGTGTTTTTAAAGTTCACAACAGTAATTATGTCATCTGTCCGAGAAATAAAATAATCACCATTCGCTGAACATGCTTAATTACTAGGAGAAGATTTTTTACAGCTCCTGCTCAGTGCCAGTATGTTTTACTCTTGTTTAGGTAGAAATGGTTTGAAACAGTAATATAAGAGTTAAAAAAGCTTGGACTGTTCTGGGACTTTTAGGGGAACGTAACAGTAAGATATAATGTCCATATCAGAAGAGAATGCTTGAAAGTAGAATAAAAAAAAGTAGCCCTTGGCATCTGAATCATTGTCGGTATAATTGAACTCACACTGAGATAGATCGATAGATCAACTGTATTGGTCCCACATTGGGGGAAACTCGGTTACAGCAGCTTACGGAACAACAGTAAAGTGCATAAGTGCGTCAGGAGTATCTTGACTATTGTACCACTGCTTCTTACTATCTTTTTCTCCACCCCTGCAGCAGGAATGGATCAACATGACAGGCTTCCTGTGTGCTCTGGGTGGTGTGTGTCTCCAGCAGCGCAGTACCCCCGGGCCAGCCACCTACAGCCCACCCATGGGCCCTCTTAGTGAGCGTAAACACTCGATGATCTCAGTGGGGCCCTGTGACATGTCCAATACTGTGGCCTCTTCCTGCTCTTCTTCAGCTTCCAGCGAGACACCGGTCAGCCGCTTTCTGGACCGGCTGTTGTCTCTGCTGGTTTGCGGCCACGACAGGGTCGGCCTTCATGTTCGTAACAATGTAAAAGACTATCTGGGTCTGGAACTTAGCCCTGCACTCTACCCCATGCTCTTCAACAAGCTGAAAAACAGTATTGGCAAGTTCTTTGACACTCAGGGACCGGTAAGTGCAAATGTGGGAGGGATTTTAAAGGCAAACAGCCTCAGATTTTAGTGGCAGTCTGCCCTCAAAACTGTCATTATTAGGTTGCAATAGGACACTAGTGTCCACAAAATTTAAACATGCGTAACACTGCAGATAAGCTAAAATACCAATAACATGCAACAAACTCTTATTCTATTCAAAATGCACAATCGAGGCTACCATATATCTTTTTGTAAATTGTATTAAAATGTCAATATAGCCAGATGCTTCTGTTGGCTTTTGCCTGGACTGTACACTTTGGTCCTCTGGTTTGCAGGTTCCCATCAATGACACTAATACCCAGTTTGTGGAGCAGACCATAGCCATTATGAAAAACCTGTTGGACAACCACACAGAAGGGAGCTCTGAACACCTAGGACAGGCCAGCATTGAGACCATGATGCTCAACCTCGTCAGGTAAGATCTAAGAACAAAAACTTGTAATGGAGACAAATTAGAAACATCGGGTCAGCGTGATTGTATCGATTAGACATGACAACACTTTTGTACTATTTTAATCAATTGTTATGCTGAATTCTAACTCTTGTCCCCACTTTGTAAAAGAGATGTGTAATTATAGGTAAATACAGATGACACCAGCTTTCCTAACAGCTTTCCAAGTTGTACTAACCTGCCGTTTGATCCCACAAGGTATGTGCGCATCCTTGGTAATATGGTCCACGCAATCCAGATCAAAACCAGACTTTGCCAGCTTGTTGAGGTCATGATGGAGAGGCGAGATGACTTGTCCTTCTGCCAGGAGATGAAGTTCAGGTTAGTCCCTTTTCTATATATAACCCCCTCTATCTAAATGATTTCCTTAAATCAGAGGTACACACTTCGCTTGGCCCCTTTTCTGAGTGCAGAATTTTTCTGTCCCTTTGCGCCTTGTAGGAACAAGATGGTAGAGTACTTGACAGACTGGGTGATGGGAACGTCCAACCAAGCTGCCGATGATGACATCAAGTGCCTGACGAGGTGCGGTTCCTTTTTGCGCATTCAAACAAACAAGTTGGTTACAATTGAAAGAGTTCCCCTCTCAACGTGTCCCTGTTTGTCATGTGCAGAGACTTGGATCAGGCCAGTATGGAGGCCGTAGTATCCCTGTTGGCTGGTTTGCCCCTGCAGCCAGAAGAAGGCGACGGAGTAGAACTGATGGAGGCCAAGTCTCAACTCTTCCTCAAGTAAAAACACACGTGCCATTTTATGATTGTGAATAATTTTTGCATGCAATAAAAATGCGTTTACAAGTTCATTCATGTACAATGTGAATTAATGTCAGTTTGGAAGAAACTGAAAGTCAAGACTGTGTAATTCAAAATTTCTGATAAAAAATATTTACAGGGGGAAAAGAAAATTAATACAAAATATTGAAAAAAATTTGAACACCTATTGGATGACTTTATACAAAGAATATGGCGATACGCTGTTTGCTCAGGTGGAAAATAGAAAGGTGAGTTAGCTCTTATATATAGTAAGTGGCTAGGTGTTCTTACATGTTTAAGTGGAGCTGTATGGGAAAGGTAGTGGAGCAGTTTTTTGGCAGGAGGAAATGTTAAGCAGTACAGAGACAGTGGCTCAAACTAAGCAGGGACATGATTGAACTGGAAAGGTGTTGAAAAGAAAAAGCTTAGTTGGAAAGAAATATGAAGTATGGAGGGAAACAGGATTGGATTTTTGATTGGGACAACATATTAGTATTGCCAACTGCCCAGAATCTAAAACTCTGGGTAAGCGTAGACCTTCGATGTGCGCTATGTTTAGTTTCTGCAACTCTGAGGCATATTTTGTCGGGCTTTAAGGTTAGTCTGTCACATGGCTGATAAACATGGAGGCATAATCAGGTCATTTGGGAGGCTCTAAGGCAAAAAGTGTTCAGTTTGTTTTTAAAGGGGAGAAAGTTAGAAAAGGGCAGCTTAGAGGACGCTTGTGATCGGGAGATGAAGGTAGATTTAGGAGGAGAGCTTGTGGTTCCCCAGGAAATAGCCCTACAAGACTAAGGCCTGATGTAATCCTGGGGGTCCAGTAGGGGGAGCATTTAGGCACACCTGAGATGGAAGAGGAAGAAATCCAGGAAGAGGATGTATAGAAATAGGGGGAAAACGTTGAATTAACTTTGAAACCAGGTGGCTACTTTTGATGAGTTGGCTTTCTGTTCTTCTTGATGACCGAAGGTCTGTTTAATATTTGTAGCTGAGCTGGTCTTGTAGGTAGATATTTGCCATTAGAAGCCTTAAGCTGATTTCGGTTGGTGTTGTAGGCATTTTTGTTTGTTTGCCAAGTCTACTAGTGTGGTTCCTCCCTCCACCTCCTGAACCCTCTATGCTTTCATTGCCTCCTATCTGAACCAGGGTTTAAATCCGTTTTTATCTACCCAAACCAGGGTTTGCAACCCTTTGATGTTTTAGTTGTATCTTTCTTTTGTACAGTCATCAGTCGTGAAGTCTACAACACAGAGAAAAGTACATATCCTTTCTTTTGAATTTGCATTCACAATGAAAGAGTGTATCTAAGCTATGATGTGCTGCATGTCTCTGTTCAGCACACAAAACTCAGCAGATTATTAAAAAAAAAGAACATGCACTTAAAATACACCTTAGGAAGATGTGGAAAGACTATGAAAGAATTCTGAACAAAGTCAAAGCAAATCTACAAGATCAAAATGGGTGAAACCAAGCATTTTGATAGAAAACCATTCTGTCTTTGCTGGTGTGCAGGTACTTCACCCTGTTCATGAACCTGCTCAACGACTGCAGCGAGGTTGAAGACGAGGGCCAGACTGTTGGGGGACGGAAAAGGGGAATGTCTCGACGTCTGGCATCCCTGCGCCACTGCACCGTCCTGGCCATGTCCAATCTCCTCAATGCTAATGTTGACAGCGGCCTCATGCATTCTATTGGTTAGTCATCTTCCACTCACCACATTTATAGAGATCATGTTCAGGGATGAATAAAAAAATATATATACATCATATTTTGAGCTCCTTTGATTTACTTCCTGTCCAGGTTTGGGCTATCATAAGGACCTTCAGACTCGAGCCACTTTCATGGAGGTGCTGACCAAGATCTTGCAGCAGGGAACCGAGTTTGACACGCTGGCGGAGACGGTGCTGGCTGACCGCTTTGAGAGGCTCGTGGAGCTCGTCACCATGATGGGAGACCAGGGAGAGCTTCCCATTGCCATGGCGCTGGCTAACGTGGTCCCTGGGTCCCAGTGGGTGAGTAGACCAGCTTGAATGAAAACGATTCGCTGGCTTCCGACCGTTAGAATTGAATGTTTCTTTGTGCATACCCGGACGGGTTCAGGTACATCTAAAGGGAGAATACTCAAGTGGTGACGTGCCACGTTCCCAAGAGAAAGTTTGTATTTTTTTTCACCTTTTGACTGCCTCAGCAGAGCTGGAATAACAACGTTTTCTTATGGTTGTCCAGCACTTCTAGACTCAACAACCCATCCTTAAAACATTTGACAAGCAGGTACATGTGTATTTTTTTCTGATTTCCAGGATGAACTCGCCCGGGTCCTGGTGACGTTGTTCGACTCCCGCCATTTGCTCTACCAGCTGCTATGGAACATGTTTTCCAAAGAGGTGGAGCTCGCTGACTCCATGCAGACCCTCTTCAGAGGGAACAGCCTTGCTAGCAAGATAATGACCTTCTGTTTTAAGGTAGAAAACAAAAACTCCTCTGTCTTTGGGAAATCTTAAGAAGTTGATGATTTTATACGACTTCAAATAAGATGCTCTGCTCGTGTTTTGAGCCCGTTCTGCTTTGTCTGGTCAGGTGTATGGGGCAGCATACCTACAGAAACTTCTGGAGCCCTTATTAAGGGGAGTTATCACCACTCCTGAACACATCAGCTTTGAGGTGGACTCCACCAGGCAAGTATAGTCTGGAGCTCTCTCAAATGTCTGGAGACTGTCCAATATGGAAAAAAATAATCCCTACAGTGAAACATTGAATGATATTTCTGTAAGATCTTTTTGATGTATTTCTGGATATGTGTTTTTTATTTATTCATCTCAGATTGTTTTTCAAAACCATTGATATAATTGGCTCCAAATGAATGGATAAACCTGATAATGTGTGGCTTGTCAGTTCAACTAATGCAGCTCAAATGCTGTCACGTCCAGTTTTATTGTTTCTTTTCAGAGGATTGTAAGCATACTCAGTCATGGGATTAATTCCAACAATAATGCAAATTATATGAAAATATTGTGTGTTCCCACAATGGCACAATTATAGATACATTTCCAAGTTATGACCCAAGGGTTTATGAGCTCAAATGAATGAACGCTCATTTTATTTAACCTGAAAATGTCCCAGACATTCTTTTTTTGAGCTCCACTTCTCTACCCGTGACAGCTGGTATGGGCTCTAAAATGTATTATCTTAATTAATGCTGTTGCAATGGCATCCATAAATTTTTAATTATTTAAAATAAAAAATTGTGTCTTTAATCAGTAGTTCGAGAAAATCAGTTTGACTGTTCATTGAGTGCCACTTTAACCAAGAATTGAAAATGGTATGAAAATATTTTTCCAGCCTCACAATGACTCGTATGTGATGTTGGGGTACAATGGATGATGGGTGATTTTGCTCATTACAGCTTGGGTTGTTCAATGTCCACCAGTCATACTGGTGTGAGTACTGAAACCATGCCTACCCTCACAAAGCTGCTTGTCGTCTCATTTAGGCTGGAACAAGGTGAAAACCTGGAGGAGAACCAGAAGAATCTTCTGCAGATCACTGAGCGCTTCTTCCAGGCCATTATCGGTTCCTCTAGCGAGTTCCCCCCTCAGCTGCGCAGTGTCTGCCACTGTCTCTACCAGGTAGGCCCCCCCCCCTTCACCCCCCCTCCACTTCCCGTCTCTCTCCTCGCACCATGTGTACCCAGCCACTCACCCAGCTTCTCTACCCTTTGCAAAGTTTGTGTGAGTGTGTGCGCGCGCGTGCTGCCAGTGTCAAACATTTAAAGGTCCCGCCTCACTCTGAGATGTCCCGTTTCCTCTCGACTCAGTGTTCGCTCATCACAGGCACCGACGCACTGCTCTGCACAACTCGCAATGCTCCTTCTGCCGAACCGAAAGCTATTTGTTCAGTTTTAAATGACAGAAGTTTCTATTTGATATGAACACTCTAGACCTTTAAAATATTAACTGCGATTTGACATTTTCCTAGTTTTTGCCATCATAACGTTGATCCACCTGCACTTCATGAAAATTAAAGTTCCGACCAAGGCAATAATTAATGCATCAGAAGCAGTAGCATCACATTATGAATATTTTAATTAGCTTAACCGATTTTTGAATAAAAGTTTGATCATGAAAATATAAGGTTTCAAAATTCTTCAGACCTTGGAAGAGCTCATTTGTTTTCTGCAAATTAATTGGATCATGTGGTGAAAAGGTATTCATGTTTTACAAAATAAACAGTAAGTCCTGTGTTGCATTTGAGAACGTAACCTGGATTTAGAAAGTCAACCAGCTAAACTGGATCAAAACTTTTTTTTCTCTGTTGTCACTGGAGTACATAAGCCTTGTCTATTTTTCACTTTAACTTTTCACAGATTCAGTTTAATTTTCATCACTTCTTTCATATACAAATCAAACATATTTTCTTTATCTACATATTTTTTTTCCTATTATGATATCACTTTGTTGCTCCGATCCATCAGGTGGTATTACTAGCTGGGTAACTGTACCAAACCTTGATGGCAAAAACTAGTAAAATCAGGCTTTGTCCAAAAAAAAAGAAAAAGATGGGGCTTATTGGGTTTTATTGAGCAACAGTCTCACTGACCACACCGCAACAATTCCCTTTGACAGACTTGATGATGGATGGTCCACATTTTTGAAGCTCTAATAAAACCTTTGATTTTTTCTGCTATGAACTTAACAATTAATTTCACCTTCAGCCAGTCACACACACAAAGCCACTGCATTCCTATAGCCTCGACACAAACACGAGCACCTTGTGAACACGGTGGGGCTTACTGTCTTGTCCACAGACTTTAATTCACTGCGGGTCTTTAGCCACTGAGATGGAGGAACACCAAACTCTGACCCTAACCAGAGACATGACTAAAGCTGTGAATGATACAAATATTGCAGCTGTGATCACACCTAATCCCGTTCTTTGTCCAGTACCTTGCCTATGCAAGCAAGCTGTCATTTATTATTTTGTTATACCAATAAAATAGAAAATCATCTCACAATTCAAGTCTTCCTATCTGCATGATATTTGGCTTGGTCAAATTTCTTTCATTGTAACCATATAGAATTATTTCTACCGTTTTCTGCGTCTATATTTAAAAAAAAAAAAAAGTTTAGTTGCTTTGGTTGAAACAATGAAGTTATGATATCATTGCAGAATAAAAGGTCAGGAATGAGTGATACATGGATTTAAAGTGGTACCACCCCCCAATGCTACCAGGGGCCCTCAGGGAAAATATATTAGCAGTACATATAAGTGATGAATAGAGTCTCTTAACTCTTTAACAGTTGAATTGCCTGTTGAGTTACTTGGTTTGGGCCACAGGCACCATCATCAGTCAGTCATAGCAGAGATAAATGAACTAACATGAGCAAAGCTGAGAAAAAAGTGTCCCAACACAGCTTTGCAAACCTTTTGATTGATATCCAAAGATAAAAGAATTGGATGGTTGGCCATGGAGCCATTTCTAAGTCGGTTAATGCAAAGAACCAGTCTGGTTTTCCATGGCTATGACAGGCAAGCTGACCTTAGTTACATCCACTGTGCTACAGCTGGCTTTTCTATACTGCTTCTGAATTGGGGATTTTAGACATTGTCAAAACATTTTAGTTTGTTAAATTAGTTTCCTTTATGTCCTCGCATTACCCTCAATGTAAGATGTATAACCAACGGTGCACACGTTTCCATCTCTTTACCTCTGTATCCAAATAAACATGCAACTCATGTCACAGAGTCAACAAAAAAACAAAAACATTATGTCCATTGATGGTTTCTGTCATGCTTAAATTCAGCCATACCTGCCAAATTACTACTCGGACATTAATACATTTATTGCTGATTTGTTTACAAATCTACGCATAAGTTCAGTTAAACAGCTGAAATAAGTTGTAGATGCAATATGATGGAAAGTTAAAGGCAATCAAATATTTCTGTTCTTGCAGAGCAAGACTAGTTTCTGTGGGCCATCGACTGTTTTCTAGACAACTTTAGTGTGTAGACAAGTACTGCACATCATAAGGTTTTTTTCAATTCGATTGACGCTTAATCATTTTAGAATACACTGGACAAAGCAACAAAAATCCAAACAAAATATGGAGCCATTTTCCCATAAGAGTACATGCTTATCTGCAAATGTATTAAAAATGGTTTATGTATTTCATTGAGTTATGACAGCCCAGTTTAGCTGAAAGTTTAACATTAGAATTCAATTAGCTACACACACACACACACACACACACACACACACACACACACACACGTTCACTGAGCAAATAAAGGGACGCCACAAGAACTAGGGTTAGGTTTAGGCTCCTCTTGGGGTGTGAACATAATCTGTATTTTAGGATGTTAGCACAGCAAAACAAATAAGGATTAATTTCTCAAATTTACTGCTTTGTTTTTTAAATCAAAGATCAGGCGATGACCCTCTTCTCTGTTTGCTCAGTTGGGATGGATGAACCATGTTTGAACAGCAGATACAAATTTTAGACAAACTGTTTCTTTCCTTTATAGAATACCTATTTTTTTAAACTTATTTTCACTTGTAAGTTATGGGGTATAAAACATCCGTAGATATGAATTACTAGTTCAGAAAGCCTATTTTCTATAGAGTAATTTAGCTCCAATTAGCGACAACATTGTAAAAAATTTTTGAGATGGAGCTTCATCAATTTTTCTTTCGATGCACAAAACCTGGCAGAGACATATCCCCGGAATTTTGATTAGGTGTGATTACAGCATAGTTTAACGTAAACTCGTAACAAATCACTGGCTTTTTCCACCTTGACCCACCTGCCACCTCGGCTGCCTTCATCATCACGCACTCACCTGAGCAGAGAGGGGGAAGTGTGTTCCTCTCAACCTCACCAACTGGTTGAATGGGGGTGTTTCCACATTTCAGACACGTCTTAACTTAGAACGGTTTACACTTGTCAGAAAATGGGTAAACAAACCAAACACACGTCTACCTGACCATGGTTTGCAGATGTTAAGACTCAGTGCATGCTTGTTTTAAGTCCCCCAATCAGTTATGACCTTTGAATTTTCTGTTGGATACGAAATTCGAATGTATGGACAAGTGTAGTACTTAAGACTGTGATACCTGTGTGTGTTTGTATGTGTGTATGTAGCTGGTGCTGTGACCATGATTGTGCTCATCTCTGTTCTGTAGGCTACTTGCCACTCTCTACTGAATAAAGCAACAGTAAAAGAAAAAAAGGAAAACAAAAAAGCAGTAAGTTTGGAGAATCTATTTTCCTTCAGACACTTTTCCCCTACGCAAACAAAGAAAGAGAAAAGCTTTTTGCATTTAATCATTTAGTTTTTCTTTCGGTCCTTCATTTTTCTTCTATTTTTCACCCCCCCCCCCCCCACATCTGATGTTTTTTCGAGCTGTTTCATTTTCTCCATGATCAAGTTTGTCTACAACACTGTCTTAAAATCATTATACTAATACCGGCCTAGTTTGATGTACTCTCAATTAACAGTTCCTGGGGAATAGCAGCACTCTCTATTCTTTACTCTGTCTGAACTTGCTGTTGGCACTCCAGGAGACATGTTTTTCAGAACATTTCATCTGCACTTCTGTTGTGTTGCTTCATCTAATTATTTGTATAACTTTACAATTGCCCATATTCACAGCTGTGGGGGCTCACTGGCCTCAGTATACTTTTTTTTGTTGTTGTTAAAAAAAAAAAAAATTAAATTAAATATCCAGAAAAAATGGCTCTCCGTCTGGATTCCAAAGTGACATGGTGTAGGACTTCAAACACATTTACACTTTTCCACCATTTTTGCAAAAACAGTGCAGCTATATTTAATACATGGTTGCACTACTCCGGCCTTTTGATACAAGCCGCACCCAATAACTTTGATAAGTAAAAGAACAACAACAAAAAAAAACATATGTATATAGGGCAAACAAATATTTTCATAACTGTGAAAATGCGTACTGGTAAAATACACAAATATGCACTGTAAATGCTTTTTTTCCAACCTGGTCTGTCATTGAATCGGTCTGTTTTAATGTAATGTTTTGGAGGCATGAATTCATTACCCTGGAAAAATCCACAGATAAGCCGCATGACAAGTGTTTAGGCTGATGGATCGGAAATTACGGTGGTGGATTTTGGAAATGTGCTCGTTCATTTCTTTTTACTGTTAGAAAACGCAGCGAGGGATAAACGAATAATTGTGTGTCAGGTTAAGTTTGTCTTAATCTGAGAGCGAATTCATCCTGACATGATCACTGAAATGAGGAATGGTGGACTGTGTGGTCAGGAAGTGCTCCGGCTCTCGTTTGGCTCATTCAGATCATCAAAAAATCGGCAGGTGAACCTAAAATAAGACTATTTCTAACAACATCAGCTCAGGCAGTTTGTTTCTAACATATGCAAAGGAAACCAATGTACAATATCTGTGTTGTCCAACGTTAATCATAAAACTAATTTAATGAGTCCACCACAAACCTTGAATGAAAAGCACAAAAATGTCACGACACAGATTGCGGTGAACCACAACACATCAGGAGGCGTTTGTGTTCCTATAGAGGCAGCATAGCTTGGTACCGGTAAATAAATGCCTCTGATGTGTTGACTGCGTTAGTGATGGTAGACACGATGACAATTCTCAGAAATACTGAAAAAGGCTGTTGGGGTAATGTATCAGTTGCCGTTTGCTCGGTCTGTTTGCGGCTCAATTGATGGCTGTGTTTAAACCATATTTGACTTCATGATGCAATTCCCCCCGTCAATTAAATTTGATGTTTGTTTGTTAGTTTTTTTCAAATTATAGAGAGAAAAACATAGAAAAAAATTATTTGGTTTTATCTCGATCAATTTTAAAAGGTAGTCTAGAGCCCTGTGCTGTCCTTTTACCCTCAACATATGAATGTAAATGTGTTGTTTACTTCTGTTATAATTATAAGATGACCATCGAACGTAAGGTTTATGTAACACTAATGGGTGAAACACCAGTATGTAGAGTCTCTGTAGTTGATATTATATTTTTAGAATAAATAAAAATGATAGATAGTTTTTTTTTTACAAAAAAAATTAAAGCAGGAAATAATATTATTTCTTGATGTCAAATCCCTCTCATTTACTTATATTCCTTCCCAGACAAAAATGTTTTTTAATGGTTAAACAAATTCTTTCTGACTTGGCAGAGAATCCCTGTAAGCCTGGAATTTGCTTATAAAAGGGGCAACTCTCTCAAATCCTCATTACTACTTTACTGTTCAAAGTAGTAAAAGATTAAGAGCTCATTGGAAAAGAGGTTGCCCAAACAAAGCATTTAGTGGTTCAGAATTACCTCTGAGGCAAGCGACAAAGTGTTCTGATGGTGTGTGTGTACATACAAATATATATTTCTTATGTTACGGACTACGTTCACATTGTTAGAGGTTGTCAGATCCTTATAAAACATGACACCTAGGTTCCTTGTAGCCCAATAGAGAATGGATAAAAGCCCATTCATTTTTACAGAGACGTTGGGCTGCATGGTTTGTTTGGCCTGGGGAAATTGCAGTTTAGTGTTAGATTGAGTTAGAAGTGCTGCTCTACACAAGCCAGTCAAAGATTTGTTCGGAGACTGTGGAGTCTTCAGGTGGACATGACAGAAGGAGTGGGGTTTCATATGCGTAGGAGTGGCAAGAGAAGCCATGTGAGCGTATGATTGATCCTAATGAACTTGTGTAAATGGCAAAGGGAAGAGGCCTCAGTACCATGCCTTGTGGGACACCTGTGACGAGATGGTGAGCTATAGATGTTTTCCTTAACCGTGGCGCTGTGAACGATTGCCCAGTGAGGTAGGACTTAAACCAAGAAAGTTTTTTTGCTCAACAAGCCCATATTTGAGCTTACAAAGTAGACAAGGCGCAACGGTTGACCGGGCCAAATGCGGACGATACAAAAGTCAATGTTACCAAGTTTGGTGCGGCTATAAGGGCATGTTTCTGCTGGTGCAATGGTCTGATGAGTGGTTTACAGATGTTTGTTTGGAATTAGATCCAGAGTAGTAGGCTGGCTACATGTTTAGAATTTGAGCACCTCGTCATACTAGGAAAGGTTTAAAGTTATGTGTTGAGTTGGTAGGACAGCTGCCTTTTGTGTTTCCTGTGCACTGAATTGGGGAAATGAAGGACTGTTCCATATTTGATAAGGTTTTTGGACTAGAGGAGATGCGTTGTACCTCAGTAGTGCAGTCAATTGACTGCAGATGGCTTCCACTTTGAAAGAAAAAAAACAACAACCTTCTTTTCTCTTTGCATGAGAAGGAACACACCGGAGACCAAAGGCTTATTAGATCAAAGTTAGCTTTGGTCTTGTGCCATCTCCTTTCAGCAGATATAAAGTCAGTGAACATCTTCTACAGGGGAATTGTTTAGCCATGAATGAGGTCTGGACGATTGAGCAAGTTGACCAAAGACAAACAGTTAGCAGAAGTAGCAAAGAAGTCTGGAATATTGCACATTCTCCCTGCAGCTCAGCCTGTTTTTCCTTATTTGTTTTCCTTGCTCTGTAGACTTGCAGGTCTTCACCCATTAAGACTTTTATATAAGAAGGTCTGATCAATAGAAAGGGTGAACGACTCAGCAGTCCTCTATATGTTGTGGATGGCTTTTAACCCTTTCCTAGTAAGGCCAATAATTGCTAATTGGACACACCGTTGGAAACCGTCTAAAACATGCGGTCCCATGTCTTGGTTCAAAAGAAACATCCTTCAAATTGCCCTTCTCGTCTCTGAAGCTCAGCAACCTTTTTACAGTTCTAGATGTTCTTTCCATTAGAAATCTGTGTTATCATGCCCCACCCCCCTTTTAAATATTTTTTTTTTTTAGCAATCTCCACTCTTTCAGTCCTTTTCCATCAAAGTTACATTTTGGATGGTACCCCACTGGAGCTGTAGCCATAGGCAAATGGTTAGTTATGTACAGCTGTTCCCTTCATCAGGCAATCATTTTGTCGGTATTGCCCCGTAAAGGGAGTGACTTTGCAGTTCTCAGCCCTGATTTTTGTCTAATCGCCTAACCGAGGTAAGAAGTGCTCCAAATGATGGGTTTCTGGTTAATTTAATGCAGGTGATTTGACTTGAGGATAAATCAGGAGCTCGAAAGGAAATTCCAACAGCATATAAAGCGAAGCATGAATAAAACGCACAGTGTCGGACTCCTCTAAGCCCTCCGTGTAGCTTTTATTCGTTCTGGAGTCCTGCAGTGACTTTTGAAACTTGGCTGAATTGTTGCGGGAAAAACTCAGTTCTTGCCATAAGTGTTGAGGACAGTTAAGGATTTTCATCTGCTGCAACCTTTTAAATTTGATCATTTTCTTTCTTTTTTTTTAGTCTTAAAGTTTTCTTGCATATTTAAATTACAGCCAGTATTTCAATAAGAAAAACCTCCTGGGACGACCTGCAGTGATCCTACTATTAATACAAATCCTTAATAGTTTTTCAGCTAATGTATTGACTCAAAGTATAATTATTGATAGATACATTTATGTCTGGTTAAAAATTTGATTTAAATATGAGGATTTCCTTTCCACCAAACATCACCATATAAATAGTGACCAAAATTCCTTAACATAAAGATGTCCCACAGCAGGCAGCATGATGTTATGTTGTATCCCTTGTTGAATGTGTCAGATACTGCCCTGCTTTGCTTCAAAGCAAGATGTCATGTGCACATGTCAGTATTTTAACGGATGGTTTTCTGTACCTTGCAACCATCCGCTGCTTCTCATTCCAGCTCAACTCTCTTATCTGTAATTGTTTGTATTCATGCTTGGCTTCAAATGGGCCCCTCTCACACTTTTTGCCTCCTCTTCCATCTGCTCCTCTTTTCCCCTTTTGTTTTTCCCCCTCTGTCCTTCTCCGTGCAGGTGGTGAGCCAACGGTTTCCACAGAACAGCATAGGTGCGGTGGGCAGTGCCATGTTTCTACGCTTCGTCAACCCGGCTATCGTGTCTCCCTATGAGGCTGGCATCTTGGACAAAAAACCCCAGCCCCGGATAGAAAGAGGTCTCAAACTCATGTCCAAGGTAAGGCTGGTGCGCATGTTCATTTTGTGAGGCGGCTGATAAAAGGCTGTTCTAAAGGTACATAATTAGCCCATTGTTGTGGCTCAAAGAGTATAATGGAGCAGCTCAACTAAAGGACATGTTGGATAATGAGTGGAAAGGTTGTGGAATGGAATTAAAAGCACAGATTTGCTGCATTTGAACATGCTAAATTCTGGTCTTGGTGCAAAGTAGCGTAAGTTCATGAAATATTCTCTTGGTATACTTAGCTAACAGGTTTGAAGAAACAGTTTTGACTGAATGTTCTAGGTTTCAGAACTTTGCTAGACATTTAAACAAAACCAAAACTCCTGCCCTGGCCTAAAAGATTCTGTTTCAGCCTCTTATGGTGTTGCAGATCTTTTTTATGGAAAGGTGTTTTAGAAGATTTCTAAAGCCATGTTGGGAATGTTGGAGGCCTTTTCTCCTTCCACATCATATAAAAAAAAAAAGCTGTAATGCCCAAGTCATAAAGGCAATGGCATGTCTATGGGTACTTTTGGGCTGTCTGAAAGAAATGTAAATATTGATTACCAATAGCCGCTCAGCTCCGCTGAAGGATGTTATTGGTTCAAACAGCCTTTAGTGGTGACGCGGGCAGAACTTTCAACCAAGATATACTTTTGGAACTGAAGCCAAAATAAGTTGGATAAATTGGTTTAGTTTATGAAAAGGTGATATTATAAAATACTTTTTCTGTGTCAAATGAAGTTAGCGTCTCTGGACGAAAAGGAAATGTTACTATTGACAATTAAAAGCAAAATAGGGCAAAAGAAGCCCCCCTCATCTTTCGTTTTAGAGACAGGAATCACATCTGGTAAATTCAGAAGGCAAGAGTTGTTTGATGAATTTATTGAAGATTTTTTTTTTCTTAATGAGTCAAATAGAGAGTTGCTATGAACAGACTTTGAGCTCTATGGTTTCGTATTAATATCATGGGAGTTTATTTCCTGGTGGTCTCTGTCTTTTATGCCCGTCTCATCTTCAATTTCAGCTGTAACATGATTAGCAGTCTTTTGGGTGGAGTTGATGAGCAAGAATTTTTCTTATTTACCGGCCGTATTTTTTAATGTTCTACTTTATGGTTTATTGATTAGGTTTTTTGTGTCTTTTGTGGAGAGGACATTCAATTCAGTCTGGAGAGCTGACATTCGTAAGTCACTGATGGGAGTGTAAGCGAGCTTGCTATGGAGGTCAAGAATCTTTGTTAGTCAATCGGTCCAGTTTTGCATAAAGTGATTTCCTGAGTTGTGCGTTATAGGATATGATTGGACCTCTGAGATATGCTGTCATCGACTCCAGCACTGTTCGGCGTGACATTCCAGGGGTTTGGTTACTTTCAAGAAATTGTTTCTCTTAAGAGAGGGGTAAATTAAAAATGTATAGGGGTTATCAATAGAGTTCCAGGTCAGAAATTATTATTTGTAATATTTACATTTGTGTATTAGCTGAAAAATCCTCCTATCTACAAATAAAATGAATAATATATGTGCAGGAATGTACCATGAACAGGAGAAAAATAAAGAAGCTTCCAGATATAGGATTGTTAAACGGCCTCGTATCTGTTATCTTGTTGGCATTCAGAAACTCTGTGAATGTGTGTGTTACTTTAGAGATGCTCTCAGTTGTAGGTGAACTCCGATGCAGTCTGAAGGACAATACACAATTCACATCACCACCAAGGACGAGATGGTTCATGTTCATGCTTGGGATTTCTGCTAGGTTTGCAACAAATGGCCCAGAAATATTAGCAAGAATGACCGGAGTGTTGTATAACCTGCCCACAACTACTACATAGGCCTAAAAGTCAGCTTTAACTGAAGACTTCACAAATGGAATATTCTTATTGATCAGTATTGCTGTACCTCTGGATTTCGAGTTGCAATAAGAGTGGTAAACTTGACCGATCCGACTTCCCCTAATTCGAGAACAGTCCATAGCAAGTAAGCGAGTTGTCAGAATTTCTGTCAGAATTTCTTTTTGTGTTCAGCTTCAAAAGGTGATTTAGAGAAATTACTTTCCAGTTGATAAAGACATGATGGTCCCTGTAGAGCATTTAAGTGAGACTTGACCTGGGATGAATAAGTGATGGATATTACATAACAATTTATGTAGGTTATCCCGAGCGTGTAGGGGTGTGAAGCCTAAACGAGAAAAAATTTACAAAATTGAAAATTAGTTAACAAAATGAATCAAGGTCAAATTCAGAAGCACGTAAACTGGAAAATACACATATGTGAACAAAATTCTAATTTAAATGCAATTTGTTAGTCGTACAATGAAATGTTCAGATTTTTGTCATTGTATTGTACAATTTCATAAAGTGAATTCTACAACTTTGTTTATTTTGACACATATTCAACTGTTTTTCTTGTTTTTCTTTCAGATTCTGCAGAGTATTGCAAATCATGTCCTATTTACAAAAGAGGAGCATATGAGGCCTTTTAATGATTTCGTTAAAAGCAACTTTGATTCAGCAAGAAGGTAAGATAGCGAGTATTGCACTATCTGACATCTCTGCATGTACTTAACTTTAAGTTTTTCCACCTTTTTTCCCACAGTAACAAGGTTCTTTACACTTTTTATAATCCACAATTAAAGTTTATGAAAACACGTCAATATTTATCACAAGAACTTCATGACATTAGGTGGTGTGTGAACGTGTTTGCACTACACATTGCAGGACAAATCATCTCCCGGCTTTGGAGAAATACATAGAATCCCATTAACTTTTAGTACTAACCTCATATTTCCATCTTAAACTATTTTCAACTATGGGTTGCTAAAATAAAAAAAAAAAAAAACACACAGTAGCCTTAACTAGGTCAGAATAGGGAACTGTTCTTGCAAATTTGCAATTAAAAGGTTAATTCACTTTAAAGAAATCAATGCGCCTGATCGTGATCAACGTACTTCTTTCTCTGCCACAGGTTTTTCTTGGACATAGCCTCTGATTCTCCACCGAGTGACTCCGTCAACCACAGCTTGTCTTTCATCAGTGATGGAAACGTGTTGGCCCTACATCGTCTGCTGTGGAACAATCAAGAGAGAATTGGCCAGTACCTGTCCAGTAACAGGTCAGAACCATCCACCTGTGTTCCCGATGACTCCTTTCTGGGGTTTTTTTGTTTTTTTTATGAAAAAAAACTTTTTTTCTCATCTTCTGATATTCCAGAGATCACAAGGCTGTTGGCCGGCGACCTTTTGACAAGATGGCAACCCTGCTGGCATATCTGGGACCCCCGGAACACAAACCAGTGGCTGACACTCACTGGTCCAGCCTTAATCTGACCAGCTCCAAATTTGAGGAGTTCATGACCAGGTATGATTACTGTGTCTATAAATACAAAGTGCAAGCATGGTATTAGGCTACATCAAATTAAATTGACACTGCAGTCAAAAGTGGCATACAATTCGGTAAAGTTTTCTTTTTCCAGCCCATTTTAAACTTTACAGATTTTAGTTCTGTAGCTTAATACAGTGCCAGCTCATGTCAGCACAGAGATGTTTTCTTTCCTCAGAAGTCATAGTTGTTTTTGAGATTTTTTATATATATACATATATATATATATATATATATATATATATATATATATATGTATATAAAAAAATATATATATATGTGTGTGTGAGGTCCATGTAGATTGTGCCTGGACAGCAATTTCTCATAAATGTGAACTAAAAAAACATGTAAATTCCATTTGCATTGAAGTTGAATTATTTTCTTTTGGTAAGTTATTCTGTTTCATCCATTTTGTCATATAAATTGTGTGACCGTTGTGTTTCGCTCCGCAGGCACCAGGTCCATGAAAAGGAGGAGTTCAAAGCTTTAAAGACACTCAACATTTTCTACCAGGCTGGAACCTCCAAGACCGGCAACCCAGTCTTTTACTACGTGGCCCGCAGGTAGGAGCTTAGGTCTGATGACCATTTCAGGCTGAGGTTTGCAAGAGTATTTCATATTTAATTTGTATGGGGGGGGGGGTTTATGTTGTTTTTTCCCCAAAAATTTAAACGGTGCGTCATTGTATGGATTAGCCGATTTGAATTTGTCTCAAGAACTCTTCAAGGGAAAACTAATAGACATATTAAGCAGTTTATGGAGATTATCTGCTATTTATTCTATGCAAATCGCATATGTTGCTTTGTACATAGCTACCGTGACAGGAAAACAACCAACAAGGTGAAGGAGAAATAAAACCTGCGGGGTTGCAGAACTTCTGATTTGTGACATAAAGCAAGGCCAGAATAAAGTTTAAAGTATTGCATTGGTATTTGTGTAGTGACCCCCTCAGTCATCAGGGCATTCTGATTAAGGATTCGCAGAGCAAAACAGGAGATGGTTAAAAGGCCTCTGGCTGCTTTTAAATACGTTCAAGCCTTTATTTCACGTTTAAGCGTGCGTGAAAACACACCACAGCTGTGGGCTTCAGCTTGCTGTTTTTTGTGTCTTTTTTGGGGAGGATTTGTCATAAGCATAGCTGTGCCAAGGCAGGCGTACTGGACGTAGTTTGTCTTTGTATTTATTGGCATATTCCTGCAGTTGGGACGGGACATCCACTGAATGTAAACCATGTCCCCATTGTTTCCGGCAGAGAAAGCAGCCCCCTTGATCGGTTACCTGACAGTGGGTTTAAACAAAAAATTTAAGACAGCCCAGTTATTGGAGGTGCTTTTGTTTTTTTGTTTTTTAAGATTGTTACTGATGAGTTCACAAATGGCCAAAGAGCAACGGAGTTTATTGTTGTACATCTTTATTTGCAAAATTGTTTAAGGGGATCACAGTAAAGTCAACACTTTTACCAGTTTAGTACCAATTTAAAAAAAAAAGTAGTACCAGGCTGCCTCAGCTTTTCCGTCTATTTTAACAAACAGACGTTTTGTTTCCTTTTTTAAGCTCTGCATACCAGTGACTTTGTCAGGGGTCGACGCTGCTTACATTGATACAGTGTTCTCAGATTTGTTCTCAGTCCATGGATTCTTGATCATCGGCGTTTTATGACCCTCGACAAAAGTCCAATGAAAATATGGTCACAGGGTGCTTTCAAGTCATTTAGATTTCTCACGACCAGACCCTGGATTGTAAAGTCCGCTGTCACTGCAGCCAGGGTTGCAGCAGGAGCCATGCAGGGGAGCAGCCTCTGCCAAAACCGTCCGAGAGGCCGTTTTTCCTGGGTTTCCTGTCATTCTAATCCGGTGTATAGTTTAGAAAAGTATCTGTCTACAGAACAATGAATTGAATCAGTTTTTCTGTTTTTTTTTCACTTTCATTTTTTTCTGTTCGATGTAGAGTAATTATGCCAGGAGTAATCTCGTGCTATTAATCATCACAGAGATTACACAAACACTTGAGCTGTTGTCTAACGTTATGTGGTTCTTACAAACTGCTGTACAATGTGTTTCTCATATACCCGCTCATTCACCGCATGCAGGGATTTATCTATCACCCCCCCACCCACTACAGCATCCCAAATGTAAAGATATTGCGCATCCAGTAAATATGGTTTCAGAGGGTGGCAAAACATGTGGCCATGACTGCAATAGTCAGGGTGGGGCTTTGAATCCTGACCAGGGCCGCGAGATTTTTGTGGTTGGCGTTAGCCTTCTTCGGCTTTTTCGTGAAAGGTTGCGGGCCGGTTGTTGTGCTCGTGTGTGGAGAAAACCGTTGAAAACTCGTCGAGGCTGTCCAGGCCAACAGCACTTGGTCCTCGGATTCAGTCCAGCCTCCCCCTTTGTCTTCATAAATGGCAGTTTCGTACAGCGCGGGCCTTAGGTGGTAACCGGACGTGATCGCAGTCCTCGCGGGGGACTGACCATCGGGCCCCTGAGCTCTGCTGTCCACCCACAGCGGGGGCTCCGTGAGCAGGGCAGAGTGCCTTCCCCTCCCCGTCGTGGGCGGATGGGCTTTCCCACAGATCGGGCTCGTGTAACAGGGGCACCCGAACACGACCGCTCGGCTTCTCTCCGCCCATCGAAGCAGCCTCGTGATGTTGTCCTCTTCCTCGCAAGCCCAGGGGTTATCGCCGAGAGTTATCACCTCCAGCCCCGTCAGCTTCTGGAAAATGCCCTCCGACAACCAGGAGAAGCGGTTGGCGTGCAAATAGAACCTAACCAGTCTGGGAAGCCGATCCAGCGAGCCGGGGAGGATCTGCACCAGGTAGTTGTGCGACAGGTCGACGGTCTCCAGGTTGTGAGGCATGTTCGTGGGCACCGTCCAAAATCTGTTACGACTCAGGTTGAGCGACTTGAGACTCAGCAGGGTGTTGTTGATGAAGACCACTCGGTCCAGCTCGTTGTCCGACAAGTCCAGGATTCGGAGGTTCCAGTGGTAAGCCGTGTCGTTCTTGTCCAGCGAGCGGAGGTGGTTGCCGACCACGCGCATGTCCCACAGCGAGCGGGGCAGGGCGGGGGGCAGACTCATCAGCCGGTTGTAGGACAGGTCCAGGGTCCGCAGGTGGGCGTAGTGGCTCAGCTGGCTGTCGAGGCTCTGCAAACTGGCAGAAGAGAGTGCTTTTAGTTATTTGTCCAAAGCCACATCCTACTAACATTTAACTTTATAGCCGTTTCACTGGGGATAAATGAAACTTTTTGAACTGTATAGTACTAATGCAGTATATTGTTATGAATCAGAGTTGTTGCCTATCAAGCAGACACTAGGCAACGTGGAAAGGTGTGCTGCTACATACATGTTGCTTTGTTAGCACATAGACATGATAATACTGCTGCCATGTATTGAATTTAAAATTTTGGGAATTTTTTTTTTTAGAGTTGCTAATTTATGGTGGAGTGACTACCCCTGGATCTTTGGGAAACGAGCCTACAACTAGTCTATGTTGAACCAGTTTCTCAAAGTCAAAGCTGTCTGCAATTATGAGCCCATCTGTGATTCAAAGATGGATATCAACCTCACGGCAGTCAGTGAACTGGTATTTGGCTCGCATTAAGACAAAATGGATCAATCGCACATATTTTTTTCAGCAAAGTTGTCTGGTCAGTGTTAGAGCCTTCGTGTGTTGTAGTCTGATGAATGTGTGCTTCTCTAAGACCTGGTTGGGGTTATTTTGGGGTTGCTTTTAAGTCTCAATCTGCAGTTTTGCTTGCACAGTTTGAAAACAGTTAAAGTTCAAGTTCCTTGCAGTACTTGTTTGCCAAATTTGTGATTATTACTTTAAAAGAAACTCATTCTAAGTAGAGGGATGTTTAATTACAGTTTCTGACAAGTCCATAGTGATTTGATTAATAAAAAACAGAAAAAGATAAAACATTTCTGCTGGCATGTAAACTCCATATGTTGCAATACAACATTTGAATACACACATAAGATCCAGTTGCCATATCAAACCTTTCGATTGCCTGACAAGAGTCATTCCTTTTATTGGTTTTGCAATGTCTTTTTTCCCCCAAAATCCATGTCATTATGTGATTAGTTTCAGTTACCGGTGCACAAACATGATCTGAGAGATAACCAGCAAAAGCAACCAAAGAAACAAAAACAAAACAAAAAAAGACGGCGTAAAGCTGCAGTTTCTTACCTGTTGAAGGACAGGTTGAGAAAGCGGATGTTGTGCTGCAGACCGGGCGGTAGCTTGGTCAGTCCCCTGGAAGAGCAGTCCACCACTCTGTGACCCCCGCTGCAGGTGCACACGGCAGGACAGATGGACAGCACCCAACCTCCCAGAAGCCCACCCAGCAGCAGCAGCAGGAGGAGCAGAGAGGCAGAACATGTCGGCACGGGCATGGTTCTACCGAGACAAAGGGGCACATGGGATTGGCATTTGGAGTATTTTAAGTTTCCAAAAGTTTATTTTGTGAAGGAACATTAGAACTCCACAGTTATCTGATTTAACTGCTAGCTTTTTGATTTTTTTTTGCCTTTATTTGCTGTCCGTCCTAATTACTAGAAATTCAATAATGCTAACACTTCAACATGCCTGTAGGTAATTTAGGCTTAGCCCGGAAAGTCGATATTCCCAATCTCAACGTTATTTGGTTGCTTGCATTTCTCATGTTATTTTACATCACTAAACTTTTAAAACAAAGTTAGGGCAATCAGATGGATGTCTCATGCCACGTCTCAGTGATGTGCAACAACAAAGTCAGCTCAGTTTCAGAAGTTATTTAAAACTATCATAAAGCAATTCATGATAAGCTTTGAGACTGAGAAGTCCCAGGTCCTGTAAAAGCAAATGATCCAAAACCAAATGATCCGTCATCATCATCATCATCATCCTTGTCTGTTGGTGTGAGATGTTTGTGATTATGTGCCGCATTCTGTTTTCACAAAGATTCCAGTGTTCACGACTGCTCAGCATCACCAGTCTGATCTTGCTTTTTTATGGAGGTTTGTCTAAAACCTTTTCAGATCTAAGCTGTGGTCTCTGTAAAAAAATAAATAATAATAATAATAAAAATATTTTCCCGAATTACATTGTTAACTTTAGGATTGAGCATATTAACTGAGGCTCATGTTTTTTTTGCTTTTTATTCCTGAGCTTGACATGGACACTGGGACATTCATTCTTGGGTAGAATTTGAAAATGTCTTCTGTTTTTTCTATGTGAGAAAAAAAAAACTTTCTCACTGGAGAACGATTGAACTCACTAGTTGTTTAGAAACTATCAGCCTTACTGATATGCAGTGTCGATGTCCGAAAGTACTAAGACCTTATTTTAAAGGTTACTCCTACAATATATGCCTAAAAACAAAATCCTGGAGGTTTGCGTGGTTGGTAGCTGCTTCCAAACTACCAATAATAGGCACCCAATTAGCCAGGACTCAACAAAACACCCCGGCTTTGTATTATCCCTCCTCAAATATGCATGTTAGATTAATTGGTAAAGTAATTAGTGGTCAGGGTTATTAGTCCCTCCTGTGTTGGGCTGCCAACTTATCTAGAATGGACCCTCTGAGCGATGGAATAGGCTTTACCATCATTATCAACGTCCTGTTCCAGAAGTAGAGAAAATGAATGGTTTTGAATAAAAGTGATTTTGGCTACTCTTTGGCTCACCCAGACCCTATTGGGGCTCTCCTGATGCATTTCTAAGTATCCCGAGTGTTAACCGGCTTGAAGTTTTGCCAGTGGGACTGGAGCTCAGAGGACTGCAGTACTGCATATTTAGGGCAATACCCAATGTCTCAGCAAACGCAGAGCGTCTAATCTGAAAACTCCCGAACAGTTCGAAAGGACTTCGAGACCTGCCAGTAACGTTGACATTTGTTTGTCAGTGTATTTACAGCGTTGCCTAATTTTCGTGATGAGCAGGTACGCGATGCTGTGGATCTGCCTTTGTTAAACATGACTAATTTCCTCTAAGCATGGTTGTTTGAAGCCCAAAGATGACCTGGGATGTTTGAGAGAAAAATCTTAAAATCTCAGAACAGTTAAATGCTTCTGCACGATCCGGCACCTTCTCATAGTTATCTGCATCAATGGTGTTGAGACTAAACTGGCTCGCTGCCTTCGAGCATGTGCATCTCTCCTTTTTCAGGGCACTCACCTCGTTTTATTACTGGTGTGTCATCTTTTCTTTTTTTTTTTTTTTTTTTTTTTTTCTCCTGCCGTTGTATCCTCTAGCTTCCAGTTGGGTCTTTGACTTCAGCCCTTTATCTGCTTTGGATAGAAAAGTCCTTCTTTTTGGCTGTTCTGGATGTCATTGTGCGGCCCGGGACAATGTCGCCTGTTATTTCGCCGTCTTGCTCGCTGCTCTGCAGGCATGTGATGCAGCCGGAGCGCCAGGTTAAGAGAGGGAGAGATGCATGTCGGAGAGGCGGCGAGAGAGAAAGTGGGAGGGAGAGGGAGGAATTGCAGCAGCGAGCCTGCTCAGTCTGCTTCTGATGAGGCAAGCAGGATCTGAAGGTGTGTGCATGTGTGTGTGTGTGTGTGTGTGCTTCCAGAGGCAGCTTTTCCATTCAGCACACAGCCATAACGCTTTGTGTCATTTTGTCTGAACCAAAGGATTTTTCTAACAAAGCACTGTCCAAAGGGGACCACCGGGGGGGCGGGGGGCGGGGGGCGGCCTATCTTTGTGGAGTTTGCGTGTTTTCCCCGTGTCTGCAGGAGTTCCCTCTGGGTGCTTCCTCCCACCGTCCAAAAGCATGCCTGTTAGCTTAATTGCTCCTAGGAGCGAGCGTGGGGGGTTGTGGGTCAATATGTGTGTCTGTTGATGGACTAGCGACCTGTCCAGAGTGTAGTGCGCCTCTCGCCCAAGCTGGGATAGGCTCCAGATAGAAATAGGTGACATAGAAGTAGGTTTTGTTTTGTAATTGTGACGGTGGGCCTTTTCGTGTTCTTTTCAACTTCCTCAAAGTTTGTCACATTCAGGAAATCCAATCTACACGCCCCGGCAATTAGAAAATATCAGGAGGGCTACGTTAAAGATGGATACCTGAAAGCAGCTTTTGTGAAGTGGAAATTTTTTTAGGTTGAATCGATAGCAAAGGTGGACAAAGCACATAATATGGAACTTACCTCAATCATGTGGCCACAAATACTGTAGAAATGATTATTTTTCTGATTGTGCGATGAATAGATATAACATGAAGTTTTAGTGTACAACAATAATAAAGATCTGTGATCAAAACGTGCCATTAAGGCATATTTTGGGCACGTCCGACTCCATGTTCCACCATGTCGAAGAGTCCCAGGGCAAGGCTCTGAAGCCCAGGTTGCCTCCCAGTGTGTGAATGTGTGGGTGAGTGACATCTACTGTAAAGTGCTTTGAGTGGTCAGTTTGACTGGAAAAGCACTATATAAATACAAGTCCATTTACCATTCACATAGGGAAATGGCCATATAGTCTCCTTATATTCTCATTATTCTTAAATTCATAACAGCAATATTCTTAATATTTATCTTTATATATTCTTCTTATTCTTATATTATTAATATTATTCTAATTGGATGCTATCCTTTAACATACAACAGTTTGCTCTTTGTTGGAAAAATCCTTCCCTGTCGTTTTGCCCCAATATATCGATGAAGTAATGCATCACTGGTGTATCCGTACCATCTTCTCTACATATTTTGCATGAATTACATGGCGGAACAGCAGCAGGTCAACTAGGGGTCTTTTTTTTTCTAGCCATGAAGCCCAGCTAATGTGTGGCAGGGGTTACTTTTTAATGCCTGCTCTCACTGTCAGTTTCTGCAGCCAATCGTCCTGTCGTCCTGTTAGGTGATGTGCAGATATTAAGCAGATAGTGTGCAGGAGGGAAGTTTAAAAGCAGGACCTTCTGGTGAATCATCTCAGTTGTTTTTAAACCTCTTACTAGAAAATATACATTGTGGTTTGGCACCTCCCTTCACAGGAAGCAAAAGGCAGCAACTGATCAAGTGAATCACTAACTGAAATATCTATGGCAACCACCAAACTTTCATTTAGTTATTATTTAGTCCTTCTCATGTAAGGGCTGAAGGAGAACAAAAATCCTGAATTTCTCAGCATGTATTTTTGCCATGCTTTGGACACTGAGCAAGATCTGGGTCTATAAAGAAGAAAATAGTATGCATTTGTAAACAGGATGAAATTAAATTGGATAAAAAAATACTTTGGGATTTTTAAAAAAATAACATATGAAGCCACATGCAGCATGCACCATAAAATTAATAGAATAAAAACATGTACATGCACTTTTTGATTTCCCCTCTAAAAGTCATGCATCGTCTAAAAATACACTCTTGTGATTTACACTGATACTATATGCACAAGTTACGTTATAAATAGGGATGTGTTGCAAGTCTGCATGACAGGGGATTGAGAAAGGTGTGGATGTCAAATAAGGTCTTTGAATCCTTGTTGACTGATATGTGAAACTGATACCGATCGTTTACCAGACAGACATAATTCAGATTGAGCGTTCTTCCTGCCAGATATATGGAAAATATGAGACAGAATTTCAACTTTAAAAAAGGTTTCAAATACTACATCCTGCATGTTTGGAAGGATTACTATAACGGCAAAAGAGTAGTTAGTTTTAAATGTGTCATTTCAGTTTTCAACCCAACATCTGTATTTCCAAATGGCTTTTGGGCATGGATTTTTCCCCCTTCCATTTATCTGTTTTTTAGCATCTTGACAATAGAATGCACATCTTCGAGCCCCAGTTTTAATGTGGCCCCAGGACATATAATTCTACTCCGATCAATCTTTCAAAGTGTTAACGTACAGAAAAGTGAATGAATAAAAAAATTATGTTTCATTTCTCATTTATTCAAGTAGACTGAATTCCAGATGACAATGAAATCACGAAGACTTTTCCTCATCACGACTCAGATAAAACATTGACAGTTAAAACAGTCTCTATATTTGTATCAAGAGCTTTTACATAAAACGGCAAGCTTGCTTCCTCATACAGAAAATGTTACTGCCTCATGTCATAGCCACATTTCCTTCTGTTTTTCTGTCAGCCGTTTTGTGTCGTTTAGACTTTATGCAAAGGGCCAGAATTTCTCAACTTCGTTTTAAAAAATGGCAAAAAATTGCGTGGGGAAATCACAAAGTAAACCACATCCAATGAGGAAGTCTAACATATATCTGCTGTGGAGACGGTTATGTTTTTTTTTGTCCAGTACGAGAAGGTAAACTTTAAGGTTTTACGGTCCAATTCTCAGTCCATGGTTATTGTCTCTCGTCATTTCCCGATGCGGTGACCGTAGCTCATCACCTTTCTGTTTTTAAAAACAGCGTAACACAACAAAAAATAGAAGAAATAAGATTGTCCAACTGCTGGATCTGTGAAACAGTTTAGGAATTTTCTAAAGGAACCAGCTGATCACCATTCACTGTTTTTCTTCCTCTTTTTCCTGTTTTCCCTGTTTTCCCAACGCATTGGAGGGATTCCCAGAATTGTCTTGTGTCTGGTTACCTGCGTGGGAATTATTTGTGGACGGAATGTTGTTAATTTCGAGAGGTGTCTCCGAGGCCGATTTTTCAACTTTCTCTGCCGCTTTCTCCGTTGCCGTAACGGTTGGAATGGTCCCAGATGGCTCTTTGCTTACTTCTACAGATGCGTCCCCTTGTGTTTTACCTCCAAATGTGACGCCCACCGTCATGTCTTGTAACTCTTCGTCACATTCCGGCAGCAGGGACAGCCGCTTGGACAGTCTCTGAGGCAGAAAACTGGCCAGAGAAATCCGATTGGACGACCTAAGACTGACTTGGCCGTTATCGTTTCCAGCCATCAGAAATGGTGTCGGACCAGCCCAGTCCGTGGTTGTTATCTGCTGCTTCTGAAGCTTCCGCTTCTTTATGTAAATGGCCAGAAATCCCACCATCATCAGGGCCAGGGCCCCCCCTATTATCCCTGCCACTGCTTTGCCGTCATTGGATCTCGTTTTGGCGTTTCGTGGCTTCTTTGCGTTGGTGAGGTGCGACACTGTCTTTCCGGCCGAAGTTGTGCGTGAACCCATTGACCCATTGACGGTGTTAACCCCAGTCACTGATTCTGTACTCGTAGACCTGCCGTCGTCAGCCTTAACGGACGCAGTTGCTGTGGAGATGAGCGTCGTCAAGCGTGACTGAGACGTAGACGAAGACGTGCTTTTTTCTCTACCCAGTTCAGTGGTTGACATATGTCCTGTGTCTCCGGTTTGGGTAGAGTTGCTTGGCACTGGAGGTACAGATGAAGGCCCGGTTGGGTCGGTGGCGTTGACAGGTGGAACCTCCGTTGTAAACGTCACAGGTTCGGTTCCTACTTGCACTGTGCCTGCTGAGCCGTTCACCGCGCTTCGGGTTTTCAATGTTGAGGTCACAGGAGGCAATGCCGGGGTTGTTTTTGGCAAGGAACCGCTGCCGTTGGTTCCCTCAGGTGAATCTGCAACATCCCAGGTAGATGTTGTGACGTCAATAGCCGCAGTCTCCGTAGGTGGGTTTGAGATGGACGTGTCCTGAGTTGTCAGCTGGCCGTGACCGAACTGTTCTCGGGTCACCTGAGCCATAGTCCCGTTAGCCAAGTCGTTGCGCTGACCAGATGTGACCGCCCCGCCTACTGTCAGTGGCAGGAACCATATTAGAACTATGCTTGTGAAATCAGCGATCATCATGTTCCTTCTCGGTCTTCAGGACAGTGACGGTGTACTTGTGGCTGGAAAAAAATAACGTTTTTGTGTCAGAGATGTCCTAAACACAGTCTGAAGCAACACCATCATGGAGAGGAAATAGAGGAGGAAGTGAATTTGAGTTTGTAAAGTTCTGTAATCATGGTATTGCGTGGTTATTTTTCATAACGCTCCTTGAAAAAGTCAAGTTTCAAGAGTACATCTTTGGTTTATAAAATAATTTTTGTAGTTGAAAATCTTAAAATATTTTGTGGAGTTTCCGTAGTGATACTTTATGTAGTTATTTACACCATAAATGAAGGAATAGTCATATGCGCCCTGTTGTTACAAGTGTAAGACAAGTAAACACTTAGTTTTTTATGCATTTGAATAAAACAATTTTTAAAACACCCTTATGAAAATTATGCACAGACATTCCAATTTCAAGTAAAACAGAAGTCTAGTTAACACAATTCCAGAGGATTTACTAAAGAGTTACATTTTCTAAGTATCATCTTCCTTTTTTAAGTTATTTAAGATAAAAAAATTTTGCTCTGAGTCCACTTAGCTTTTATTTAGATTTGTTCTTTTACATCAATATCAGCTCAAGACTCTTGACACAAGCAATGCTTCTCTTGTACTCACCGATTACTTTACAGCAGTAATGCCCATTGACTCTTTAGTCGCGACAGGATGTATCACAAGTCCGATAATGGAAGATATTTAGCAGCTGTCTGTTGTAAAATGTCTCTCTAATGAAAGCAGGAACAAGGACAGGAACCACCCCACTCGGAAAGGCTGAGACTTGATCTTGCCTTAATTTCAGGAAGTGTAACGTGTCGAACGAGTGCTTTCCGGATGGCAGCGCTAAATTTAGTAGCTCAAGTTTTACACCAAACAGCAGAACTGTTAAAAGTTGAGCTGAAAGAGCGTGTTAAAATTCTCATGTTTAGATATATTTTAGCAAAGATTTTAGAATGTCTTTTACACTGTTATGTCATAACTTGCATATATTAAAGGAGGGGAAAATTCTTTGTTAAACAAAGTATACATACTAAAATAGTTCATTGTAGCCAAAATCAAATATATAGTGAAATATAAAATAAAAGTAGCAATGATTAAAGGGAGAACTTTAAAACGCATCGTTCAATTTGGAGGGAATGACGCAAACTACTTGAGTAATTTCAAAAGTTGACTCACTACCAGCACAAATTTGGGGAGAATTACTTTATTGAGTTATAAGCTTAACATTTTTCAGTTTAAACGTATGTTCTGCAGACTGTGACGCGGAACAGCCAGCAAGCTTTTCTTAGTTAGAATTTGCATGGCTTGAGGAAAAGATGCATCCTCATCCTCTCTTTGCCCTCTTTGATGGAGTGTATCCCCTCGACTTGAAAATGAGCTAAAAGCTAATCTTATTTTGAGCCACTGTAGGTGCCAATTTATTTTATTCAATTTACGTTTCTCTTGCTAGACATATCTGAATCTCCCTGGATTTTTGATCAGAATTTCTACATTGCTGAAATACTGTTAAGGGTTTAAACAAAAAAATCAACAGTATGTCACCTCAGGTTTTGGAAAACCAGTTGGTATTTGCAGATGCTCCCAGCAACCGCAACGATTTATTTCAGACAAGTATTTATATTACAATAAACTAAGATTGGGATCTGTCAATGGCAGCTTTTCATATTGAAACACCAACCAATGTTCATTCATCCATCCATTTTCTGCTGGAGCATCTCAGGTGTTTCCATTAGTACCTCCTAAGCCTCGGCTCGTCTTGACTTGGTTTAGGAGGATTTAAATGACTAATTTTACTACACGAGACACAATAGAGGGCACCGAGGCAACAAAATACAGACTAAACTGGCTGGACCGCGACATTGGTTCATGTATTAGTCATATACAACGTTGGTAATTAAACAAATAATTATATGGGCCGGTTGTTGGTGTCTTTTTCAAATAGGTGGACATAAAGTGATTGATCCGCTATCAAATTGTATTACTCTTTGGTCAACAAGCCCCCCCTCCCGGCTGCCCAGCTCAGCCCTGATAGAACCCGGGCGAGTAGGCGCTTGGGTCGTAACTCTTTAGCCGAGCCAGCCGCAAGTAGAATTTAGAATTGAGCCAAATAGACGCTTTACTGCGTGTATATTTGAAAACATGGCGCTCAAAGTATGCAAGTCATCGCGGTTAACCTCCGTTCTGACAAGAATATTTCTTTGCTCTTGCTCTGAAAAAGAGTTGGTGCTTCTGTAGCAGGTGTGGAGTCAGAAGTTGTAACAATCGAGTATTTTTCTTGTTTTCTGGCAGCGCTCTGTCCTGAAAGGTGATATATCATGTCCAGGTTATTATATTACTGGATAGAATGCTTTCTGTGGTGCGGCAATTACAGGTTCATCTGGATGACTTCAAAACATTTATGAACTATTTATGTATTAAGATGAGAAGACCATGACCGGTCCTCTAGGATGTGAACCTGACAGTGTTAGAAATGGACAACTCGGTCTTTTGGAGTCTCTCCTGAACCTTACTTCTATTAATAGTTAAAGTTTCTCGACATCCAGCAGTAGCTTCCTGCCACCAGCTCATGTGATCAGTGATCTCTGGTAAGCTTCCTTATTCTTGCTTCTTGTGGGTTTTAGAAAGATTAAAACCTTTGCTACTCAAAGCACTTTCTTACCCAGTGGGAATTACAAGCAATGCAATATTTGGAAATCTATTTTTCCAGAAAAAACTATAACAGACTTTTAGGTACAGTACAAGTGGAGTTAAGGGGAAAACCATTGTAAACAGTGTAGTCATTTATAGGGAGATTGATTTCTTGTTAACTCGTTCACTAACGAAACAGTCGGAAATGATGTACAACCATATACAAGCAGTAAACCATAAAGATGATAATTCCCTGTTATTGAAAATTATGTTTGCTTCTGAGAGGAAAAAAAGGCCATTTCCAGACATGAGACGTTAGTTAACTGACTTCATGAATCAGTGAAAATGATCTAATCTCATCATTCAGATGTTTGTCACTTTAGTTTAATTTAGATGTGAGTAGAAGTTCAACTGGTAGATCAACCTCCCCATATGCAGAGTTTAATTTTCTGGATCCTGGTTTGAACCTTGTTCTACCTGACACCTAAACACCTTCGACCCAAAGGCATCTAGTGTCTGGAAATAAAGAATTAAAGCCACTAATATGTGGTAATGATTTCAACTTTTATCACCTTTATCTGAGCAACTGATCAGAAGTCAGCGTATAAACATTCCTTACAATTATGTCTCTGTACTAAATAACTAAAACCAATAACGGATAAAACACAAGACAGACACACCATGTAAAAATCCATTTATTTAAACTGTGTAACAGGAGTTTTTATGTATACAATTCATAAAGAAATAGTCTTTCATATATTTATTGTTTGAAGCCGACTTTTTAGAAAAAAACAAGTTCAGGAGTGCTTTGGTAACACACCAAATTTGAAAGCTAAAGTTTAATATTACGATGCCACCTTTTGCTATGGTCTGACTCTGTCTGTTTCTTGCTTTTTCTTTCCAGTTTGATGTTCGGTTTTGCGTACAAGGCGGGTTTTGATGATGGGCATCTCTCTCAATATATTTGATTAAACCTGTTTTTAAAGCATCGGCTTCCTGTTTAGCAACAAAGAAAAATACAAAAAACTTTGTTGCTGTTTTAGCTTTTAATTGAATGTGTCACATCAAAGTATTTTTTTTAACCCAAAATATATCGTGACTTCTTTGGCTTTTTTCTAGTTCAAATTTATCTTGTGAAATTTTGTACTGTAAGAGATAAGTAATGATACACAATAGTTATTTCTTATTATTATCAAACTGGAACACCTTCACTTATTTTTGTTCAGATATTATATAAAAAAGATAATAATCTTGACTCACTTTAACTTTATGAGACCAGCTGTTCAATTCCATAAACATTTAATATTTTATTCTAGTTTTAAAGTAGCATAATTTAAAGCCATTTCTATTAATGACTGAAGCACGCACATTCTATTAGTATCAGCATTCAAAATTTCTTGCTGTGCCCAAGCGACCCACAATTCACTATAAAAAAAAAACTAACAAAAAACAATAAAAATGAACTTGCTAAGCTAAATGTCTGCGTCGAATAAGGTGGAGCTACCTCCTCAGACAACAAGCGGCATGTCCTCTACATCCCGGGGAACTTCCAAACAGTAATCCTGGGAACTAGAGCTCAGCATCTTGGAAGCCTGTTCTTCAGGATCGAAAGCCACCGCGGGGGCCACTTCCCCAAGTCCCGTCCCGCTTTCCTCCATGGCCTCTTGTATTTCAGCCTGCCTCTTCTCCTCCATCTTGCCGTCCGATCTCACCTCCTCAAGCACGACGCTGGCGTCGCATGGGCCGACCAATCCCCCGGCTTCCGTTTGATCGGAATCCCAGTAGCCAGTACCGCTTACCAAGTTCATGTTGGACCGGGAGGTCCTAAGGGTTTGTGCCCGATTCTGAAGGAGGCGAACCTGACATGCGAGTACTATAGTGGCGACCAGCAAGCAGAGAATCACCCCTCCCGCGGAACCGATGGCGACTAAACCCATCTCGGTGTCGATCGGGCAGTCCGAGCGAATGACGACGGTACCGTCGGATGAGTTCTGTTGGTCGGTGGTAGAAAAGTAGGCCTCCATTGCAAAGGTCGAGCGGCCGTCATGGTCTCCTGGTCCGGACGAATATGTCTGCGTGGTTGAAAGGGCTTGGTCTGCCCCAGCAGGGCTCAGGTGCAGCAGATTGAGTAGGAGAAACAGACAAAGAGTCCCGGGCGATTCCATCTTGGTCTGAAATGAAGAAACTCATTTAGAGAAATAGCGTTCCTATGGTTAAATACTAGTCAGATTTATCGCAATGTACAAAATCTCTCTTACATTAGGACGTTGCAACACAAGTGTGGTCTCGACTAAAGCTTTCATTTTCACAGTTACATCGTCCTCATGATAAATTGACAGATTTTTTTGTTTTGTTTTTGCCAAATACTTACATGTAGAAGTCTTCTGGGGTTGTAGGGACGGAGTGAAGCACTTGCTGCAAACGGTCTTGAAAGATACTATAAACTCCCTTCCTGAGCCCCTCTCGGGGTCTTTTGACGTCTGGCTATTTCAGGCTCCCCGGTCTGACACCACAGTGGCCAAAGACCTTATACAGAAAAAGACATGTAAAGTTGTGTTACTTTTCTGAAGCGCAATGGTCCAAAACAGTCAAAGGTGTCACATGAATAGCTACGAGAAATGATTTCTCTGTATGCAAAACGCAATGGAAATAGGTCAGCAGTCATGAAATGAATTTGCCCTTGAAAAAGTCTTTCTCTCCTTTTCTTAGGTTCAAAACGGGCCAGATTAATGGGGACCTGCTCATCTACCACGTCCTCCTTACCCTTAAACCCTACTACGCTAAGCCCTACGAGATCGTGGTGGACTTGACTCATGTGGGGCCCAGCAATCGTTTCAAGACCGACTTCCTGTCCAAGTGGTTTGTGGTCTTTCCGGGCTTTGCTTATGAGAATGTAGCAGCAGTTTACGTCTACAACTGCAACACATGGGTGAGGGAGTATACCAAGTATCACGAGCGGCTACTGACGGGCCTGAAGGGCAGCAAGCGACTCCAGTTTATTGACTCTCCGACCAAGCTCGCGGAACACATCGAGCCTGACCAGCAAAAACTGCCTGCAGCCACTTTGACATTAGAAGAAGACCTAAAAGTGTTCCACAATGCCCTCAAGCTGGCCCATAAAGACACCAAGGTGTCAATAAAGGTGAGTTGGCACCTGGAGTAAAACTTCTACGATCGACAGCTTTGAGTGATCGAAGATTCCGAGCACAATGTCGGTTCCCCTTAAAATTCTGTGTTTCTTCTCGACCAATTAGGTGGGCTCCACAGCGGTTCAGGTGACCTCGGCCGAGCGGACGCGCGTCCTCGGCCAGCCCGTCTTCCTCAATGACGTCTACTACGCCTCAGAGATCGAGGAGATCTGCCTGGTGGACGAGAGTCAGTTCACCCTCACCATGGCCAACCAGGGCACTCCGCTCACTTTCATGCACCAGGAGTGTGACGCCATCGTCCAGTCCATCATCCACATCCGAACACGCTGGGAGCTGTCCCAGCCCGACTCGATTCCTCAGCACACAAAGATTCGACCAAAAGACGTTCCAGGGACTCTACTCAACATTGCCCTACTCAACCTTGGCAGTTCTGACCCCAGCCTAAGGTGAGTTCTATCAGACCTAAAACGTTTAGTTAATTGAATCTCAATGAAGTGAGTTTTTTTGCCTGGCATAACACCTTTCACTCGTCCCATCACATCCAGGTCCGCAGCCTACAACCTGCTCTGCGCCTTGACATGCACCTTTAACCTCAAAATCGAAGGCCAGCTCCTGGAGACTTCAGGCCTCTGCATCCCGGCCAACAACACCCTCTTCATCGTCTCCATCAGCAAGACTCTGGCTGCCAACGAGCCACATCTGACCCTGGAGTTTTTGGAAGAGTGCATCTCTGGTTTCAGCAAGTCCAGTGAGTCTCAAAAGTCATCTCGCTAACCCGATCGGTCTGGCTTCACACTTATCTTCCGGGTTCACTCACAGATCTGTGATCTGGCCTTGATATGAACCAAAGAAAATGAGGCCATGACATGGCCCTGCTCTTCTCTCATCTGGTTAAAAAAAAAAAAAGTCTGGTCGGCATTTTACTAACATTGAATAAAAATACTTAAAGCAAATATTGGTTTGCAAAACTCTGTGGCTAATTTGTATGTAGCATCCTCAGAAGAGTATTAGGTGAGACACTGTCTCGGGGCATCATTGTGTCTTTTGAAGCAAAACGTCTGTGCTGCTATGTTACAGGTATCGAGCTTAAACACCTCTGCCTTGAGTACATGACGCCCTGGCTTCTAAACCTGGTGCGCTTCTGCAAGCATAACGACGACGCTAAACGCCAGCGCGTCACTGCCATCCTGGACAAACTCATTACGATGACAATCAATGAGAAACAGATGTATCCTTCCATCCAGGCCAAGATCTGGGGCAGCCTGGGCCAGGTGAGTTCACTATCCTCATAGATTTAAAAAAAATTCAAATACATGTGTGTGATTCGACATTGTTGCCAAACACCTTTTCTTCAGATCACAGACCTGCTGGACGTGGTGTTGGATAGCTTTATCAAAACCAGTGCTACCGGAGGCCTGGGCTCAATCAAAGCAGAAGTCATGGCTGATACCGCAGTGGCTCTGGCATCAGGAAACGTCAAACTGGTCTCCAACAAGGTAAGACTTCCCATAGTGTGGGCTAAACTACGACCAAGGATTGTTTGCTGCCTATATTTTATCATGGGCAGACTTTTTTTTTTATTGAAGACTTAAATATTTAATGGTATCAAGCAGTAAAACATAATGTCTGTCATTTAGGCTCTTATGTTTCCAGAGTAGAGTGTACAATGGTTGGTGGAGTTTATGAAAATGCCAGATGGAGGTGGGGGGGGGGGCTTCTGCTCTCTCAAGTAGATTGAAATTTCTGCAGTTTGGCTAAAAACCAAGTGCACATATTTTAAACTGAAAAATGGAAGAGATAATTCTTTAAAAAGGTTAAACCTGCAGCATGTGTGACTTACTGCTGATTATTCCTAGCTCTAGTTTGCAGGATCAGGTCTCGTCTTTTACATCCTCTACCACCATAATGCTGGTCTTTTGTCTGCTCTTCCATTTTTAAGTTGAATTCCAATTTTTCATGAGTAATAAAATGGGGTTGAGGATGTATTTTAAGCCAACATAGCGGTTTTCCCATGTGCACAGAGATACTGTAGGCTATTGATGTTTTGTTTCTGAAACTTGAGTGAGAACTCCTCATTAGATGTGACTTAACAATAAGCTGGAATGTGTCACATAGATGAGGAAATTGTAACTCTTCAGAACAGGCCTCAGAGGCTTGAGTGCACTTTTTTTTTTACTGAGTTTTACAGGCCATCATACTATATCAATATTTTCAACTACAGAATTTTTAAATGAATGTACTCCCATTGAGAAGGTAGATCCAATGTTGTTTTTATATAAGAAAGTATAAACTTTGGAAAATATATAGATTTTTAAACAAGAGTTATTAGAATATGTCATTAAGTTTTAATTGTCCAGATCTCCATTTTTTTAATTGCCACCGTCAGATGTGCCGGAACATTGTATTAACCCATTCTTCTCCACAAGTCCAGAATATCTTGGCAATGCAAGTATTTCACTTCACTTAAATAAACTGTTTAATCTTCAATTAAGATAGCATTTATAAAATTCAAGATCTTGCTTAAAAAACAAAAGGAAAAAAACAACACTTTTTTTCTAATACCATCTTTTCTTTAAAGCAACCTTTATTTACATGTAAGGTCCCCAAAAACAGCAATTAAATTAAATTAGAGTTGTTTCAAAAAGCTAAGATGAAACCAATTTCTTCCAGAATTGCTAGATCAGTTTTCAAATCGAACTCGGTACTAAAAGTAATCTAGGTTTAAAATACTTAATTTGCATATAAATGTTAGAATGGAATATAATTTACTCACTTAGTTGTGGAGGGAAAGATTCCAAAGCTGTAAATATTGCCTGACTTAGTGAAACAAAAGAGACAAACTCATCCACTTTCCATCCATCATCTGTGAGGTCTGGGTCCAAATCCCGCCAGCTACTCAGAGAAACAAACACAACATACACAGAGAGACACAATAGAAAAGTCAGGGCCTGTCTCCTATTATGGCAGACATCAGTGCTATGCTGAATGGTGGCCATTGTCCAGACTGTTGACTAAGAAATGACAAGCAGTGTTTAAGCTGTAGTGCTTCTCCACTCAGTGATTTAGGATGACTTTCCCATAGAGCTCCACTGAATTAAAGGTTAAAAAAAAGAAAAAGAAAACTGACAACGGCACACAGCTGCTGGACAATATGCGAGTCTTTATACCAGTGTTATCTGCTTTGCATTACTGGTAGTTGTCATATCAGGACAACGTACAGAGCACAATGGAGCCTTGTATGCTCCTCTTGAACTCTTTGTCACCCAAGATTTGAATAAGTGCTGTTTTCTAAGCTGTTAAAAGCGCAGTTGTTTTTTCATGTGCATCAGCTCCATATCTAAAGAGGCATGATCGTCATGCTCCACACCGCTTCTCTGTACATGCTTCCTTTTTTTAGTGGGACAGTGTTTTGATATTGTCAAAATAAGTTCACATAAAAGTGGTTTTAACTTGTCATTATAATCTTTTCACTCATTTGTCAGTTCTTATCCATTTTCTTTTCTTTCTATTATATTGGGATACTTTATTTAGAAGTTTTCAATTAAAGAAGAACGGTACAACTTGGTCCCATTAGAATAGAAAACAAAACAATATAAAAAATGAAAAATAATATCAACGGAATTGTAAAAGACTAAATAGTTAAAATGAGAATTAAAAAACAAAAGTGAAAAGTGGAAGGAGCAACGAGAAAAAACTAATACGTAAACAAAGAAAAATTAAAAAACAAAGAAACAAGCAAAAAATATATATTGAATAAAACAATTTCCGATGTTACACTATGTCACATTTGTACCAAGTTATTTCAGCCATTGTATTTGGGCCTCAGTGTTGGTTTATAACTAGTTAAAATTTAAAAGGGGTCCAGGGCTAATAATGGTAATTCCTCTACATACTCAATGAAAGGTGGCCGCATTTTTAAAGAAGTCTTCAGATTTGTTTCTCATGACATAGGTGATCTTCTCTAATGGTAGAAAGGATGTCATTTCTGATACCGAAAGGGTGGAGTCGGACTTCCAGGTCAACGCAATACATCGATACATTTCCTGTAACTCTGACTCAGCTTCAAGTTAAAAAAATAGTTTTTGATCTGATGGAATTAGATCCACACATATCATACAAGAATGTATGAACTTTAGTACATTGCCATGTGCAATATAACATGGTGCCCACAGCAACGGCACACCTGAAACAGAGATTTGAAATAGAAGCATTGCTCCATTCATAGCCAGGAAAACTGGGCATGATACAGCTCCCACAGAGCATATCCCTCTCTATATTTTGGCTGAACAGAGCAGGGAAACTCCTTACAAATCTGCCAGACAGTGGCCTTTATTGACTTTGAATTTTACACTCCTGGACAATTCCTTGTAAAAAGCTGATCATCAAAGAAAATCAAATGGTTTAACAACCTAAACATTAAATTGCTGAAACACAGTGCAGCCTCCAGACTTGTTCAAATATTTTAAGGTCAGTGGAAAGCATATTTTTTAAAATGACATGAAAGTTTCTTTGGTATTGCTTCTGGATTCTGCTTTTCATGAGGTCACAAAAGGCGTTCATGGCTCCACATCCAACAGTATGAGATATGCTCCTGTTTTTGCCTTCTCAGTGACTGTCTCCCGCTCTTCTTCGTTGCAGGTTATTGGCCGGATGTGTAAGATCATTGACAAGACTTGCCTGTCGCCGACGCCCACGCTGGAGCAGCACCTCATGTGGGACGACATTGCCATCCTGGCACGCTACATGCTCATGCTGTCCTTCAACAACTCTCTGGACGTCGCTGCCCACCTGCCATACTTATTTCACGTAGTGACCCTACTGGTAGCCACCGGTCCATTGTCCCTCAGGGCCTCCACCCACGGTCTGGTCATCAACATCATCCACTCCCTCTGCACCTGCTCGCAGCTCAACTTCAGCGGTAAGAAAAGACTTCAACTGTTTATTCAGTTTTTGTTTTGCGATGTATTTTGAATCTTTTCTTCTATATTAAACTTGTAGTCCATTTCAGTAAGAACCGCTCTGTTCTTATGGGAACAAATGTTATGTTTTCGAATGATTCCAGAGGAGACAAAGCAAGTTCTGAGGCTGAGCCTGACAGAGTTCTCATTGCCCAAGTTCTACCTGCTGTTCGGCATCAGCAAAGTCAAGTCGGCCGCCGTCATCGCCTTCCGTTCCAGCTACAGGGACCGTTCCTTCTCGCCAGGCTCCTACGAGAGGGAGACGTTCGCCCTGTCCTCGCTGGAGACTGTCACGGAGGCTTTACTGGAAATCATGGAGGTCAGCTATATAACTGCGACTTGCACGGAAACACCTGTAGAGCTCAGAATTGTTTGGAAATTTGTCAAACAGTTACGAGTTTAAGATGCAGGGTGATGTATGTTTTAAAAAAAAAAGTCTGTTGAAGATGCTGTCTGTAAAAATAATTCAAGTTAGTCGTCAGGTTTTCTATGCTTGTCAAGCTAAGCTTGTGCCTACTCTATCCAAATGAATTTTTGGCTATGAGCGAGTTCTCATATCTGCTTTTTGACTTTTTGTTTTTTCTCCAGGCTTGTATGAGGGACATCCCGACTTGCAAGTGGTTGGACCAGTGGACAGAGCTTGCACAAAAGTATTAGCTCCCTCTGTCATATTTAAACAAATGTAGGCGAATACAGTGAAAGTGCCGCATGTGGAACGAATGCGTTTGCCTTTGCTCTGCAGGTTTGCATTCCAGTACAACCCGTCTCTCCAGCCCAGAGCGCTGGTCGTGTTTGGCTGCATCAGCAAAAGAGTGAGCCACGGCCAGATCAAGCAGATCATACGGATCCTCAGCAAGGCCAGCCCTCTGCTCAGCATAGACCGGGTCAGAGCACTTATTCACTTCCAAAGTCCTCACACCTGGGAGCTGTTGCTTGAACATGACTCAATGTCCATTAATTGCTGGGGCAGCTTGACGTCTGGAACCCTATTGCCTTCCCAAAAGAGCACGGAAAACGTTGTTTACAATATAACCTCTGGAGATATAGTTTGTTTTTTTGTTTTATTCATATGTCATGTTAATTTGTGCTCTGTTTGACTGAATTTCACAAACAATTTTTAATATTTTGTTTCCACTTAAATTTATTTTTGTCAGCATGAACAAAAAAAATAACTTTAAATTTAGAAAACTCCTTAGAAAGACATAGATAGCAAAGCTATGTGAATGAGGCATTTGGTTGCAGATTAAACTGATTAAACATGGTCTCAGAGGTTGATAAAATGTGTATTTAAAAAACAAAACTTATCCCTTATTCCCAGCATCCACCGTTCTCATCTTTTTTAATGTCTGTTTCATCACAGGGTTTGGAGAGCTGTTTGAAGGGGCCCGATAATTACAACAGCCAGGTTTTAATAGAGGCCACAGTCATTGCTCTGACAAAGCTGCAACCTCTCCTCAGCAAGGTACCGAGCCGTCGTAGATCCAAATCATGGTCAAATCCCAGCATTGTTTTAGCCCTCCTGCTCAGCCATTTTCCTTTGGGCGCCATTAACCTTTCACTGTTCTTGCTTAGATCTGCAGTTATTTGTGAACTGACTTTGAGGACCTTTTGATGAATGCTTTTCATGAAAAATAAGGCTCACACAAAGAGACACTGCTGTTGAAGTGACTTAATCTTAGCTCATCTGCCTTCTCCCCTTTGCAGCTTTTACATTGGTGTTTTTTTGTTTGTTTTTTTCATGAGCTCCTGAATGATCAGTAGCAGGGAATGAGTGTTTCATGTGTTTCTTTACAGGACTCTCCCATGCACAAGGCTCTGTTCTGGGTGGCAGTGGCAGTACTACAGCTAGATGAAGTTAATCTCTACTCTGCTGGAACTGCCCTTATGGAGCAGAACCTCCACACGCTTGACACAATGCGTGTGTTCAATGACAAGGTAGAACACACACTGCTCTATAGAAGCCTCCTAATTGGTCTTTTGTTATTTTTTCCATTTTAGGCCATTCATTGATAATAATGCAGAGTCGTGCGTGTTCAACATGTTATCTTTAGATGAAAAGTACAGAAAGTGCTCTTGACAAATATTTCAAAAAGTAATATGTTGTCAGGTGTTTGTCACAAGCTGAAAATCTTAAATCCGAAGGCACAAAAAATGGATGGAAGCTATTTAGGGTAGAGGTGGCATGTTTTCATGATCAAAAGATTTGTAAAAAAAAGTAGTTTAGTAGTGGTAGTATTAAATATTAGTTTCTAATTGAATAGATGGTGTCATGTGTTCCTCCACTTTCCTACCATGGAGGAGCTCAGTTGTCATTAGACTACTGGCTGGTCCAGGTCGCATGTAAAATTGGGCTTTTCCACTACTGACTCCGCCCAGCTTGGAACGGCTCTATTCGCGATTTGTGTGTTGTTGTTTTTTTGCATTTTGCTTGTGCTTCCTGTTAAAATTGTAGCACCTCTTCAGCCAGAGTTGCAAAAGAGCCGAGTAGGGCCCACTGCTGGCTGCTGATTATGTCACACAAGAGGATAAATAATAAAAGCAACTTCATGAGAACTCCAGCTATTCTTAAAAAGCGCAGTAATAGCAAATATTCGATTATATTATTTCTTTGACCATAATGTTGTGAATGCCTCCCACAGTCAGTGGTAGAAAATATGTTCTAGAAGTGACACAGCAAGTTGGTGCAACCAATTGGTTCATAACCATCCACCATTATGTGCTTTTCTAGAGTCCCGAGGAAGTGTTCATGGAAATCAGACGTCCTTTAGAATGGCACTGTAAGCAGATGGATCATTTTGTGGGACTCAACTTTAGCGCCAACTTTAACTTTGCTCTGGTGGGCCATCTACTCAAAGGTAAGGCAATGTGTGGTCTTTGATCCTTTAGCTGTGATTAAAACCATTTGAGAAGCTGAATAACACAGCTGAATCTACTGTGTATATCTTAGTTGTCTTTTAAAAAAATGTTTATTTAGGTCTTTCATCAGTTTGATGCAATTAATGATCATATGTCATGTTTTGCCTGCTTTTGGGAGTTTTTTCAGTTAAAACTATGACTTCTTGATTATTTGCTTTTGTGTACATTGTGCTTTTGGACTGTTTTTTGTTGTTGACCATTACAATTTCCTACCTTTGTGTTCCTACAGGCTACAGACACCCTTCACCCACCACAGTGGCGAGAACAGTGCGAATTCTTCACACACTGTTGGCTCTTATAAGCAAGCATCTGAAATGTGACAAGTTTGAGGTCAACACTCAGAGCGTGGCCTATCTGGCTGGTATGAGTCTAAATTCAAGTTTTATGTGAAGCCTTAGTGAATTAATGCTGCTTTTGGTTAAAGCATCCAAGAAACTTCAGTTAGGAAATGCGGAGCTACCTGAATTTAGAGTTTAACTGCTTGAGTTATTTTGTTGCTGTCATCCTGCTATTGACGATGTCTGTCTGCATAAATTGTCCTTTTCTTTTTTCTTTTTTTTTAACTTCCTCATCTTTTTGCGCAGCTTTGCTTACTGTATCTGAGGAAGTCAGAAGTCGCTGCAGTCTCAAACACAGGAAATCGCTACTCATCTCTGATCTCTCCATGGATCCCGTTCCCATGGACACCTACACTTGTCACATGGCTGATCCCTCTTGCAGGTGAGTGGAGGAACAGGACCTCTTGCCCGACCTGTCCACAGCACATATCGGCAGACCATGTGAAATTTTGCATGTTACATAGCATATTTATACCTTATAAATGTAGAATAATTAGTTGATGTAGACCGTTTCAAATTGGGATTATGTAAAATTATGTAAAAACATACTTTTTACATCATGTATTTTCTTTGTAGTGTATGAAACCAAACTGCCAGCTCACTGCATAGTTTACAGTTTAGTCGTTGCCCTTTCCATAACTTTCTTCACAACCTTTACTCGTCCTTTTTCAGAACTTTACAAGAGCCTCAGCCATGGACATCGCCTCAGATTTCGGAGCGCTTCCTGTTACCACATCATTACCCCATAATGGGCCAGATTAGCCCACGAACACGGAAGTCCATGAGCCTGGACATGGGCCAACCCTCGCAGGCTAACACGAAAAAGCTTCTGGGTATGAATCGTCCCGTAGTTGTGAGCAATACCGTGCAGGGCGTATCTTTCCTTTGCTCTACTTTACCTAACCGGACTCACCCCGGCGCAGTCTCATTGCTCAGGACAGCCTGAAAGTCAAACAATGTTATTTTCATGCAACAGAAACACAACAATGAAGGACGGCACAACAACGGTTTGTGTGCAGCCATTGACCCTGTAGACGAGAACAGAAAGGATAAGATTGCACGTTTGTCATTGCCCCGTTTTGGAAATTTGACGGATTCTTGTGAGGGAGTCGCATTAATCACATGAGGCCTGCAGTCTGTAGTCCACTCGACTCAGCTCCCTTGAAACCCCCACCAAGTAGTTGCTAAGATCGAAAGTGGTGAACGCTCCTACCACCTAAAGATGAGTGAAGTTAAGCTGAGTAGGTGGGACTCAGCGCTTGGCCAGGGAGTCGCATGATTCTAGAGCAACTCCCACACGTGAACCCTATCATTTTTTTAAAAACGGACAACCAAAAAATTTCCAATTTCCTTATTATTGTAACCATCTCTAATATATGAACCAACACCACTGTCCACCACTGAGGTTCGGCCAGTAAATAGCTGCCACGATGTTCTTCATTGTTGCCATGGCGTTGCATGCGACTGACATCACGGGCCGACGAGTCCGACTTTCTGTCCGGCCCTGATTTTTATTGTAAAAGTTGTGCCGAGGTGGGGAAGACCGACTAACTACTAATGGAAAACCCCCATAAGAGGGGGCCCCCATGCTACTGCTAAATAGCCAGACTGATAATGTATGCGTTGTCTTTCTATGTGTAAAAGGCACCAGGAAGAGCTTTGATCATCTCATATCAGACTGTAAAGCACCAAAGAGACCAGAGATGGAGTCTGGTATGACCACCCCTCCCAAGATGAGGCGCGTTGCCGAAAACGACTATGAGATCGGTGAGATACCCGAACCCGCCCGTTGTCTATTTTGCAGTCAGTTTGACCGAGAAAAGTGTGTAACAGCTGTCTTTTATCATGACCCACAGAGACGCAACGAATCGGAAATTCTCATCTACGCAAGGTGTCTGTATCAGAGTCTAATGTGCTGTTGGACGAGGAGGTGCTGACCGACCCAAAGATTCAGGCTTTGCTGCTCACTGTGCTGGTGAGGACACACACACACACACACACAGCTCTGCAGATTTCAAAAGACGGCACCCGCTCAGGATGGGATTCGACCTAATCGCCTGTTCTCCCGTTTTCCCAGGCCACGCAGGTCAAATACAGCACGGACGACTTTGACCAGCGCATTTTGTACGAGTACTTGGCCGAGGCCAGCGTTGTCTTCCCAAAGGTTTTTCCAGTTGTGTGAGTAGTGGAACCGTCTACCCCTTTCTCTTCGTTATTTGCTGACGTGAACATTTGCGGCCTTGTTCGATGAGAAATGTTAAGAGCAGGAATTCTTTCATTTCCTTTTTTAAGAGGATGTAACATGAAAGTTATTGAAGCTGGTTTTTGTCTCAGAATGGAGGTGCAACTTCGCTCAAAGAGGGCTTTCGATCAGAGGGAATAATCCTTAGTATTTATTCTTAGTACTATAAAGTTTGCTTCCCTTCTTTCACTTGTCTTTGAATTTCTCTTCCCCATTTACCAAGCTGTGTTTTCAAAACATAAAGCAAATTTTAACAAAATCAACCCTTTCCCAGAAGATTATCCCCTGAAGGAAATCTTCCACTCAGCCATTATGGCATCTTTTTTAAAATGAAGTTTTTATTGCACATTTTTCAGTAGTACGAACATAGTCACAGTGCGCCCCTCTGTGAATTTGCAAACCATCGTACCTTTCTGTGGTTTCTGTCATTCTGAGCCGACTACTCCCTCTCTGTTTAGAAACGCTTTGCGTTACATTTCCGGAGATGTGGTCTAATTAAAGCTACAAGCCAAACATGGCCATGCTCGTCTACGCGAAGCAGCTGCCATTCACAAAAGCCTAACGTTGCCTGATGGCGTGGATGTGTGTCTCCTCCTCAGCTACAACCTGCTGGATTCCAAGATCAACTCTGTGCTGTCCATGTGCCAGGACACCAACCTCCTGAACCCCGTCCATGGCATCGTCCAGAGCGTGGTGTACCACGAGGAGTCACCGCCTCAATACCAGCCCTCATACTTACAAAGTAATCAGGCATTTTTTCCCCTTGTACACTAAACTGAAATGGATGGCTCTCAGCCGTCACTTTCCATAAATTCTTCATTTTTCGCCTTTCCATTTTCCAGGCTTTGGCTTTAATGGGCTTTGGAGGTTTGCTGGACCATTTTCGAAGGTATGAATAACGTTTCCTCCTCTCATTTTTTTTCCCGTCCTCCCTTGAAGGAATTCGGCTCATAAAGCAGTCGCACACTGGACCCAGCTTGCCAGTTGGTGTGGTGATAAATACTAAACAATGCACCTTCACAAGCCAGCAGAGAAGCTGTCGATAGTTTCCTGTCTGCCTCTCAGTATTGCCACGAAGAGAGAAAGCACAGCAGAGTAGATGTCAAATAAAAATAAAATATCCCATCACACTTACTGTGAATGTTTGCAATATGCTTAAAATGGAGCGCTGCTGTCTCCAGGCCTCAACTCTCAGCTGTGTAACAGTGATGCTTAATTTTATGCTAATGATATGGCCCATCTCTTTTTCTAGAAGTGCACCAGAACAGCAAATAGCCAAAACCTTAGTCACTCAAAGGTATGATCAGCTGATCAAGGGCAGTTTAGTGGCGGCACCAAGTTGTAACTGCACCTCATAAATCCCAAAACAGTAAAGATGCACAGTAAAGATGTTTTTTTTACACAGTCTTTGTTTTGTCATAGTTTTTTTTTAAATGCAGCAGAGTAATGTCTGTTATTTCCTTTTATTTATAACCTACGACTGAAAGTTGCATACATGAATGTTTGCCAAACTCATTAGCAGGACTTGGACCAAGCAATTATCTTATCTTTTATCTGTCTGAGTGAAACTTAGTTATTTAAAGAAGAGTAAACCCCCCCAAAAAATGTAATTAATTTGTAGCTACATAATCGGTAGACTTTGCTGATTGAGGACGGGTCGGATCTTATCGGCCTTATTCGTGCATTTGCCAGTAACCTGATTTCTCGTCATGTCTCTTTCTCCCCACCCCGAACCCCTAACCCCGCAGCAAACCCAGATACCGGATTACGCCGAGCTAATCGTCAAGTTTCTGGAGGCGCTGATCGACAGTTACCTGCCGGCCGCCGACGAGGAGCGAGGGGAGGAGCAGCTGAGGACGCCCACCTCCCCCTACCCCCCCACCAGCCAAAGCCAGCTCAGCATCACTGCCAACCTCAACCTGTCCAACTCCATGACCTCACTGGCCACCTCGCAGCACTCACCAGGTTCATTTTTCTTGCAAGAGTGGCCGTCTGCCCGTTGAGACGTTGGCGGATCGGCGCTACCTCCTTCGCCCCGAATACGTCCCGTTGGGGGGCCCGATAGAGCCCCCCCCCCCTCTGCAGCACTTAGTTCTTGTAGATAGACGCGTGAAGACATTTGCATGTGGGTGGACGAATGTGACTTGCTGTATAAAAGCCCTTTAACTCATTGAGTTTTTTGAGCATTTTGACAGATTTTTCAAGAGCCACAGAATAGTTTGTGCTATGACTATGTAAACACCGAACACACCAAAAGAAAGGGTAGACTCTCTTCTTTCATCAGGAAAAAAATTTGTTTCCGTTCTTCCTCCGTTCTTCCTCGACTTGCGTCTCACCGGCGACATTAGTTTTTTTTAATTTGCCTACAGTCTATGCTAATCTCCCATCAAAAGTGGCACTGCTACCTAGAGGGTCAATTTGTTACTACATACTCTGTCTAGAAGCATGATATTTACGGACAAGCTTTAGCAGATCGTCCCCCAAGCCACTCTCGTTGAAAAACATAAAAGACGTCTATAGACGTCTTTAGCAGCCAATGAGTTAACTGGTCAGCTAGACTAGAATAGACTAGAATATCGCCTACTTCCTGTTTACAACAGGGGTGACAAAGTCCAGCCCTTGTGGACATTTTCCTGTTTCTGCACGCCCGACTCTTGACTAAAATTGGTTCAAAGTAAACACAAGAAATAAATGGACCAGACATCGTCAGGAGGGGTGATCAGGCGTGTCCTCCTAGACGTTAAATTTTGCTCAGGCCCTTATACACTTGCGCATTGAACCAGGGCAAACCCAAACCCTCTCTGTGGTCTTGCAGGTGTGGACAAGGAGAACGTCCAGCTGTCCCCCAGCTCGGCGCTGTCCAGCGGGGGGCGCACCAGGCACGGCTCGGCCAGCCAGGTCCAGAAGCAGCGCAGCGCCGGCAGCTTCAAGAGACCCAGTATTAAGAAGATCGTGTGATCCGCCGCCCCCCCCCCCCCCCCCCCGCCCAGGAACCCGCCGGGCCTCATGCTGCACTCCCGCCTTTCTCACCGTCTCCCCGTTACTCTCCATCAAACGTTCCTTTGGGAAAAAGAAGTCATCTTGAAAATTCGCATCAATGAATATTACCAAGGGCAAACTTGAATTCTGCTGCTGGAATGTTTTGTTTGTTTTTTTTTTTTTAAATATGTGGTTTTAGATTGACCGAGGTGTTGGTGAAGCCTCGATGTAAATCTTTCTGCTCTCTTCCGGATTCCACGTGAAGGTTTTTTTTTTTTTTTTTTTTCACTGCAACGAAGGCCGATGGGAAAACTGTGAGATTGAGTCAGGATGTGAACTGAAATGTGTCTTAGACGCCAGGCACAGGACAGATTTTTTCAGCTCCGGGGGACAGTTGGACGTGTCCTCTGGGCTGTGCCGCTGAGATGGACCACATAACAGCAGAATATATGACAGGACATTCTCTCTGGACCTGCTTGGACATCTCCCCCCCCCCCCCTGCCCCCCACACCCCCCCCCCCCCCCCCCCCCCTCCTCTCCTTTCCCCCCTCTGTACATATTTGACAAAACAGAATATGTATATCTAGTCCTTTGTGCTAATGTAGATGTTGCTGTTTTTCTCCATGGTGTGCCTTTTGTCAGGGTTTTTCAATGTGTAAAATTTGTAAAGTAAAAGTCAAACCTTGCTGGGGACAATGAACAGGTACTAATTATGGAGGCGAAACCGTCCATATCACTCAGTTCCACCCCGAACTGTGTCACGACCCGCCTCCAGTGACGGTCAGACGCACCCACACGAGTAGATAGTGCTACATAAATCCTCCTTCACTCTAAACACTTTCCCCCAAAAAGAAGAAAAGTATCCCCTCGAACACTTTGACCGTGAAATTAGCTAAACACTAGGGGGAAAAAGCAACTGTGTAAATAGCTGCCAGATTTTTTTGGGGGGGTTCTTTTATTTAGCTCCTCTCCTCCTCGCTCTAACTTGTATCTTCTGCAACGTAGCATTTTAATTGGGTTGTCACCGGGAAGGAGAATTGTGTAATATGCAATAATCCTAAGCTCTTTTACGAAGCGCTGGTTTTATTTTCTCTGCAAAACGGCGAGGGGCGTTTTGCTTCGGCCCGTTTCACACAGCTTTCACACTATCGCTGCAAAGAGGGCATCCTCGTTATGCTGCCATCGTTTTCTTTTTTTTGTTTTTTTTTTGTTTGGTAATGATCTCCGACGATCAAGCAGAGTGAAAGAGTTCAACTCCGCTGCTGCATCTCCATCCAACTGCAATGCGGGTTCTTTTGAAATGTACCTTCATATGAAATGTGTATCGGGGCCTCTAAACTAGGATACGCAGCAGGTAGCATTAAAATATACATTTTCCTTTGTGGTCGTAATAAACATGTTTGTAGGTCACGTACAGGAAACCAACAATTTTTAAGAGGGACACCTTTGCCACACATGATTGAGACACTTAAGGAGGGCTGTTTGTTCTGTTAAACCATTGTGGTTGTCATTGTATGTCCAAACGTGTTGGCCTTGTTGTTTAGAAGCAAACGCACCTACACGAGTCATGTGACAGAATTGTGTTTGACATTTCTCCCCTTTCACGCATTGTTCTTGTTGTTGTTTTTTGTTTTTTAAAGAATTAGCGCCCCGAGTACACAGAACCTTTTAAATTATTTTTATTTCCAGAAATATTTCAGTGCATCGGCTTTTCTAAAATACAAATGTTGGGTGACAAAAGTGGTGACTGAGCTGATGCAGCATGTTTTTTCCATCACAAAAGCAGCCATGAGATTGGACAAACTGTCCCGCTTTGAATCAGCCATAAAAAAGGGATGTCCCCCATCAGTCTGATCTGTGTCCACCTTTAAGGGGAGGGCTTTTGTCGGGGGATCCACCTCTTGCTGTCGTGGTTCCCTGAAACCATAGCTAATATTTCCACCTTTAAGTGCGTCGTACAGAGCAGAGTGATGGGAACTCCAGTGTCACAAACCTGTCAGGCTGCACCTCAGATCGTTTTTTTGTACCGTCAAAACCCCTGATGAGCAAAGCTTTCCAAAAATATGCTATGTAGACATTCTATTCCTGCTGTTAACGTACACATCTGTATCACGTCACTGCTCCTTTGTTGTTTTTTTCCACTTTGTGCTTGTGCATGTGTGAAAGCTTTGTCCATTTATCTCCTTAAGCTCATCAAACTAACAGATATATATAGCTCTGTTAGTTTGATGTAACTGGAAATATTTTTACATTTGTCTTAATTCTTGGGAGGATGTCACTTGCAATATTATCTGGGTTTTTAATTATCACAGGTAGTAACAAGTCTTGTCTGTCTTAGAAACTAATAACGGCCTTTTAGCAGTAGGAACCAGTTCCGAGGGTCAGTGTGGGGAACGAGTCTGGACGCGACCGGCCTTAGTCTGTGGTCCCTTTTCTGTTTAGCGAGCGGCACTGTGTGAAGCGTGCAATGAAACTGTGACCTATCCAAATGCTTTAATCCTGCCACGTCTGCACGAAAAGAGCCGAGTGTCCTCCCAGTGTGTCCACAGATCTGCAGCTCGGCCACGCATCTATCGGGCATTCTGCGTGGACACGTCTGTCCATGTTGGATCTTGACCCAACTACACTGTTCCGCATTATATCAGCATGTCATCGTTCTATGAACAGAATGGAGAGGGACAGCATCCCAAGAAGTTTGGCTGATCAAGCCTGACTAAAACAGAGGGGTTTCATTTAAACCGGTCATATTCAGAGTTCCCTGATCCTTTTTCCAGCTTGGGTAGTCCAGTAAAATGGATAGACAAGTCTAGTTGACTTGTTTATGAGATAAGGAAAGAAGTGGCAGAGTGTGTTGTAGAAATTGTCAGGTGGAGGTAAAGAAACCAAATGATGATAGCTGTTTTTTTGTCAGTGTGTCATGAGCCCTTCCAAAAAACAAAACAAAAAAAAAAACAAGCATGATTTGTTTACTTTATATTTTTCTTTGACAACACAGTCGCCCGCTAAGTCCGACCCAAACTGTGCTTTTTTGCTCACTTTAGAGATTCCCGTTCAATCATGAAGTTTTGAGTTTCCACCAACGCATCTCATTTTTAGAAGGCAGTCGATGGTGTTAGCTGATCACATTTCCCACTGCTGTTGAAGATACCCATCCTTTTCCTCCTCCCGAAACATGTCCAAGGAGTGCATCTTTTACCCACAAACATGTGAAGGAAAGCTCGCCGTGAGCGGCGCGTTAGCAGACTGGCTGCAAAGAGGGGGGGGATGCATCGAGATGGTCTGAAACAAGTGGTTGACTTGCACTAATTTAAAAACAGTCATGGGTTTGTAAAGATGAAAACCTCTCAAATGTGGCATGTTTAATTTGATGTTATGCAAAATCTAATGTCTGTAGAGTATTAGTCTGAGTTCTGTTTTTAATGCAGTATGTGTGACAATTTGTAAATACTTTGTGTACAATTTGAGATGGTATATTTACTACACTGTAAATACCTGTGATATTGTACCATTTTGTTTTTGTAAAGCAGTTAGTTTCTGTATAATAATACACAAATGGAACTATTCCAGTGTTAGTAATAAAAATGTTTTGCTCTTCAGCGTCTGATCCCGTGTGCTACGTCAGAGCTGAGATTTCAAAACGAAAGGGTTTATGCAGAAAGTGTAGTCCAAGCACATGTTGATTCAAGATTTGTGACTAATGTTATTCCTTATTATAATGCTTTTTTTTTATTTACAGAAAACCCTCAAGCTGATTTGAAATCCTGCAGTTTGGACTCAGATAAAAGCTCTGGAAACCACACATCCCCAGTTTGATTTCTTATTCATTGGCTGGATGTGAAATCTAGAATAAAATTTTAGGTTTTGCGCATGAAGAATGGCCGATGGGCCCTTTAACTCTCAGGCCTCTCTCATGTGAAACCAGCTGTTTGGGTCTCTGAAATTCAGTTATTGAGGATTAAAGAAAATGGCACTATTATAAAAGTACAGTCAGTTGCATCTCAGTGTCACATTTTGATACGCACAATGGACAGATCATTAGTCCATCACAGATATTTGCTCTTTCAGTTTCCAACCGAAAAGGTTATAGCTGCGATCAAAATTATGTTATCATATCATACAACTTTTTTTTTTTTTTAAATATCCTCCAAAAGTGGACTTCTTCTGAGGCTAAATCCAAGTAGTGACTTCTTTTTGTGAGGGTTGCAAGCAGTGTATTATGAACGCAATACTGTTTATATTTGATAATTTTGTTTTATTTTTAAATAGTTTGGAATTTATTTATTTATTTTGCTTTGTCAACATGAATTGTTTTAGTAAACATTGACACCCATTGATTAATTTTTTATCATAGATAGATAGATAGATAGATACTTTATTAGTCCCAAGAAAAATACAAAACTACTATCAAGAATTGCATCACAACTACTCCTACCAATAATAACAACAATAATAATGCGGCAGTGATTATTTGCACTGGCACCTTATACCAAAAGGATTCTGGTTTGTGTGTTTTGGTGCCTCCTACTGATAAAAAATAAGAGTGAATTTTGTGTCTCTAAATTGACAATATGAGACTTGATGTAAGCGTGCATGTTTGTCTCTGTGTGGCCATGTGGTAAACCTTCCTATATGACATGAAGGAGGATCAATAGAAAGTATAGAAACTAGATGAATGGATGTATGGGTGGAGAGATGTCAAAAACACATTCAGATTCCCTTAATGCGTTTGACACTTCTACCTTATTCCACATACAAAGTCTGGAAGGTTAGAAAAGACACATGCATGCTTAACCTTGCATGCCATCTCAACTTGTGGGCATAGGTATGTATTCTGCTCTCGTTTGACACGAGAATGTGTGGGTGAATCTCGCGAGATTCAACCAGCTGTTAGTCTGTGTGTGTTTTTTTTTTTTTAAGATTAGTGCTGGTCGGTCAACACGTGGGGAGAAGAGCTCTACTCTGTATCGTAATACATTAGAAAATTATCTACTATCATTATCACCCTCATCGTGGCGGCATTGCAGAACTTGAAATACTGTGAGTAAAGAAAGTACCACGAATGAATTTTCTTCTGAGATGGTGTTAGCCTATTGCTATGTGCTCTTTCCACAGACAGCTTGACTTGTTTGAAATCCGGTCGTAACGATGCGGCACTTTACATCTCGTGCAAATACAAGTGCATTGGTAATTTTAAGCGCATTTGCAAGCGGTACGCAGAGCACTGAGTCGCTCATTCAGATCAGCAATCTCATGTCATTGAACAACTAGCCAACATAATTTCTCCGTAGTCAGAAGTGTGGCTAGCCTTTGTCCGTGTTGTGTAACTTAAGTAACGGCCTCCTGTGGCCTGTTCATAAGGTACCAGTTGGGTAGCGTTTGACCAGCAGGTCTGTCTTGTAATTAAACCAAATGTCTGGTCGCTGTGATAGCGTGCAACAGTCTTGTCATGCTCGTTTGGCCAGCTAGCAAGCTAGCTTGAAGGTCTAAGGCCCATACGGGACAGAGGTAGAAAATGTCCTTTAACCCTGCGTCAGACACACACGTGCTCCCCACGGTGTATTCCCCTGTTTAAATATGGATGGTGGCTGACTTAATATTAGGGCCTAACCCCAATTCCCAGTTAGCTAAAATCCTAAATAGAACAGTGATGCAACTAACTGACCATCATGAGTAACACAACTCGGCGGAGGGGAGTTCTTTGCTAGCCGCCGCGTTATCTAACCGGTCTTCATGTGTGTGGTCAGTTTACACCGGTGTGGCCAGCAGACCCCACACGGTGGGGGGCATGCACCAAGGGCCTCCTCACTGACCACGCTCTCTGTGTCCGGCGGAGCAGGCGGAAAGTCACCGACCTGCGTCCGGGACGAAGCGACAGAAACTAGCCAGGTGTCGGGATAACTACACTTGTCGTGTTTTTTCTCGGCCTCGGACGGGCGCGAGTTGACGCACGCGCGAGCGTCTCGTGGATGTGTCACGCACTCGGGTCAGTTCTCTCGTTTCTCGGGAGTAACAGGCACTCGTCTCCACGCTCACGTCAAGTCTTCCAACATCCTCCGGTGATGGTGTCTTAAGTTTCGCAGCAGCGGGGGAATGTCGGCGCAAAGCGGTACTGCAAAACACCGTTTGCATTGCAAACACTTAACCCCCCTTCCCCCCCCCCCCCCCCCCCCCCGCTAACATACAGTATTTACTCTCGACAACCTAACATTACGTCGTCCGCCGTGTGTGGCGACGGAGAAAGCCCGCACATGACACACTCCCGTCAAGCTAGCCACTAGCTAGTCGGGACGCTAGCAGGATTATTCGGAGCCGTGCTGTCCCATTGTAGGGGGGGTATTATTAGCCGTGAAGGTTGATACGAGCTAGCTCGGCTTCTGGGAGTTTGTGTTACCGCTTGTCTGAGATATATAACCCGGGAGCTCTGTGTTAGCCAGCGTTCGGCTAAGTGTCGCTGCTTAATTTACGGCCGTAGTTTTGACAGGCGACTCGGTTTGAGTTGGAGTTCGAGTTGGTAGCTACAACCTGCCCCGCGTTGAATTCGCAGGTGTGGTTTAAAAAGGTGCAAGGAGTGATTTGAGAAAGCCGGCGAGAGACAGGTGGGTGAGTTTGAGCGGAGTGGGAAGGAATACGCCGGGGGCTCTCCCTCCACAGTGGGGCGTGTAAACGGAGCCCAGCCTCTCACTCAATGTCACGGTGCGAATGCGGACTCAGAGGTCGCGAGAGGCACCACGTGGAGCCCGCGAGCCCTGCTTCCAACTTCCACCGTACCCTTGTTCAAGGTGAACGCGTCGCGCGCCACCATTTCCCGTTTCCTTACGGACGAGGTGGACTTTGACCCGAATAATTGACGAGCACCACGCGTTCCCCATTGAGCACATTTCCACTGACAGGTCATAGACAGAGCCCCTCCACGTTTTTACAGAGGTTTTTTTTTTTTTTTTTTTTGCCTTCAGCTGGTTTCTGTTTGCGTGAATTGCTCGATAAACGTGCCAATTTAATTTATTTGATTTTTAGCGTGCACCAAATCGACCAAAAGAACACTCATGCAGCCCTTTTGAAAGAAGTTGCCCACCATGACCTGAATTGGTCAAATTTTTTCTTTTGAAACGACTTGCAGCTATTCAGTGAGTCCCGTTCCAAGAAATTGAAGGATACCAAACACCAACAAGGGACTAAATTCTTTTTAAAACAACTTGTCAGCAGACTTCCAGATCTTTAATGTCTGAGTATCCCCTGAAGGAACCTGACTGAAGATGGCAGAAGTTTTGAAAATGGAAGGCAATACCTGTAATGTGGCTTTACGGACTGAGTTGTGAAAAAGGTCCCAAATCCTGCTTGTTTTGATCCATTACTTCACCCTCAGTGCAACACTCTTAGGTTAATTCATGACCTTAACCCCCCTCCCCTTGGCATCCAGGAAAGAAGGTTACATGCTGAAAGTTTTCTTTCAAGAAAACACCAACCATGTGGAGCCTTTACGCGGAAGCAGTTCGCCAAATCCCATAGATTTATGGCTAACTTTTGTTTCCAAAAGTTCAAGCATGGAGCCAAGTTCTTCTGTGAGGACCAGCAAAGGGGTCTGAATGGCTTCTTAATGTTCATAAGTATATGCATTTAAGGATATGCAACAAAATGTGGATCGGGAGTCCCGCCAGAGAAGGGAGATCCTGGGGATATTTTTAGAGCAGTATGCGTGCTAACAAAGGTCACATAGTGGATCTGGTTTTTGTTTCCAAACGCTGATCTTCGCTTGTTAACGTTGAGAAGCGAAAGCTACGAAACGGCGGCGCAGCTGGACTTTGGCCTTTATTTATTTATTTTTAAAACGTCTGTGGATGACAGGCCAAATCATAGACAAAACGTTCCCCTTTTTTTATTCCTTTTCTTTTCCTGCTATGTGTTTACAAGGTCTAACGGCGTTACAAAATCCAATGATCGGTTTGGTTTTTGTTTTTTCAGATATGGAAATCAGCAGAGCCTGGCAACCACTGCACATAAATATAGTTAGGGTTTGAATACACATACAAACCAATAAAAAAAGATTCAGATCTTTTCTCATCCCATATATGTGTGTGTACATGTATTTATCATGTAATAGACTTTTTATTGTTTTGAAGAAGCCAGTTTTGTTTTTGTTTTGTTGGACTATTATTTTTCTTCTAATATTATGTAGTGATATTTACTCCCTGACGTGTTGTAATCAATGTCTATAGTAGATGTCAAGATCATCATTAAAATGCCCTTGATATCATAAGATTTATCCAAATTTATATATTTGAGATTGTTAGGTTTTGTTTTAGTTCAGAACTATTTATTGTTGTTTGTGAGCTGATGCAGATTTTGCCTTTGTGTCTTTTTGGAAGGCGTGGCTGCTGGTGTCTCGAGGAAATGCCGCTGAGGTTCCGCTCTGTTGTGCCCTACACACTGCCCGGCGTGCTCCTGTTGATCGGCTGGTGGTGGTACACGTCGCGGAAGAAAGACCGGCTGGTGAGCTGCGCCGGCCCGGAGCGGTCCCCGGCGGCCGCCAGCACCAAAGCCCCCCAGGCGGAGGGCAGCAACGGATTGGTGGAAAAAGACACGCCCCCCCATGACACGGACAGCCCCGTTCACAGACCTGCGCAGGTCAATAGCCAGAGAACAGAACACGAGATCACGTCTCGGGTCCACATTCTGGACAGGGAACCGGCGCTAACGCCAGAGGACGCCGCCGCCCCCCTTGGCAGGCCGCCGCATTCTGTGCCCCCCGCGCTCGATAATGAAGATATTTCAAAGGGATCGCTGACGGACCCCGAGGCAGCGGAAAGGGGTACGCCTCCCGCCGTGGCGGCGGACGAGGAGGCGGCGGCGATATCGGAAGAAGCGCCCGCGGAGGAGCACGTCCTGCCTCTCCGGGCCGGCGAGGCCGCCATCCTCTCCTCCACGGCGGCGCTCCTCTCCGACGCCCAGAGGCCGGAGCCGGAGGGGGAAGTGGCGAAGCAGCACCACGCAGGCGTCGGCGGCGCACCGGGCCACGGCGTCTGCGCGCTCACCCCGCCCCGGGTGCCAAGGGCCGCCCTGTCCGAGGCCGGGTCCCCGGGGACGCCCCCTCCGGCGGAGGACTTGCACAAGTGCATCCTGACCAGCACGCCCACCGACCCCACAGTCCAGGACCCCCTGTCCACCCCGCCCACGGCGGGAGACGCCCGCGACGAGGACGACACCAACGAGGACCAGGACCTGGAGCTCCTGGCGGCTGGACTCATAACCGAGGTCATCTCGGCAGCCACCCAGGAAGTCCTCGGGTCGGCCGGCCACGAGGCCGCAGAGGACCGCCCGCCGGCCTCCGTTAGCTCCCAGGAGGAGCCCACGGCGGCGAAACGGCAGCACCGGCCCTCCACGGGAGGCGCGGAGGCCCGCGAGGCAGCGGAGGAAGAGGCGCAGGGAGTGTCCAACGGCTGCCCCCCAGCGGCGCCCGCCGAGGCCGGCGCCGTCCAGGCGATAGAGGCACAGGGCGAGCCCAACGGCTGCCCCCTGGCGACGCACCTAGCGGCCAAGCCGAGGGGCGACGAGGCGGCGGCGGCGCTGGCTGAGGACTCGGCCTGCAGCACCTGCCACTCGGAGGACGGCGTCAGCAGCGAGGACCTGCAGGGCGGCGCGGCGGGGAGCCAGAGCGACCCGGCCCAGGGGGCCGACCCGTCGGCCAAAGAGGCGGCGCAGCCCCAGTCGCTGGTGGAGGCCGCCTCCATGGACGCCGTGTGCGAGATAAAGAGGCTGCACGACATCGGCTTGAGGAATGGAGCCCACGGGCCGTGCGAGGTGGACACGGACCAATCTGGAGGTGAGTCGGGAGGCTTCTGGCTCCGGCTGCTGCTATAGAATCTGTTTCTGGGCCTTTAAGCCTCCAGAAGTTGATAACACAGGTCGCTGTTTCAACAGTTAATGTTTTAAAGGCATAACCTGAACTACGATGTAGTATTAGGGTCTTTTTTTTTTTTTTTTTAAAGAAACATTTTTTAAATTAATTATGAGATTAGAGTTCTAAATATTGTATCCTGTTTAAGAGGAGAGTTGATAAAACGAGGGCTGTGGAGCATTTGGTGGAAATGTGCTTTAGAACAGGCTTCACAAACAAGGAGATACTTAATCCTTTAGCACATCAGCATCAAATTGTCATAAGTATCAGGACGTTAAAAAGAACATGCAAGAAAATGCCTCTATTCCGCAGAAAGAACCAGGCGGACTTGTAGGGGATGGCTGCTTTTGTGGAGGGGAAATGGCTAGAAGTGGTCACCTGTATCAGAGGGGTTTTATTCTTGCCATATCTAATAACGACTACATTTTCGTTCCTTTAAATGTGGCCACGATACTCTGTTGTACCTGAACGCTGCATTGTGACTTCAGTTTTTGACATGTCATTGTACTTAAAATGCCAAGGCTAAGTGCTCCTCCATCATTTGCTGACACTAAAAGCGTGGCTTATGTTTTGTTTCCGTGCGTGTACATGCTCAAACGTAGGCTAACAGCAGGGCCTCCCGTGAGAAGCAGTGAAGGCAAATCTGTGTTGTGTTGATATCGATCGCTAACGCGTTGCAAGTGTGTTGCTTACTGGCAGAGAGTCCACCCACAAACTTCCAAGCCTGGATCACAGAAAAGAATTGGATGACTATCGCCATTGCCTATCGACAGGGGGTCTCGACCAATCACGGCCGCTCGCTTGTCAGCAGAAAACAGCCAACTAGTTCCGAATGGAGAAAAGGACCAGACTGTTGCAGGACGTTTGAGTTCAAAATTCTGCCTGATTCAGCACTTCCAGTCTGAAATTTTATTTAAATTCAAAACATGCTTCATTGCCCTATTATCTTTATTATATTATTGTATTTAATTTGAAGTTATGTGATTTCATTAGATTTGACACAGCGGAAGTGGTCTGAACATTAATAATCCAGCAGGTAGGTTGTAGGTCATCATTGCTTTTGCCATTAAATGAATAGGTTAAAAAAAATGGCTTATTGAACTTGTTCTTTTCTTAACTAATGTTTGTGACCTGAATGTTGAATTTACATTATTTATTTTATTAATTTAGGCTCTTTATGGAATATTCCACTCTTAAATTATACTCTTAGGCAGGTGGTAGGTAATTGTTTTCAATCAAGAATTACTGAAAATTGTTTGAATTTGTAGTTTTATTGAATGTTATTAGCGATAATGGCTCTTTTTAGCACAGTTTCAAGTTGCAAAGCGGTCAGAGCTGGTGTGATATGCTGCTGATGGACGGGGCAGCTTTGCTGTAAATGTGACCCCTGCATTCAAAGAGGACTTGTTCCGTTTGTCTGCGTCCAGGTTCTGACGTGAACAGCATGGACTCGGTGGACAGCGGCTGCACCATGAGCGCCATCGAGAGCCAGGGCAACAGCGCCGTCTCCTCAAACTCGGAACTCGTCATTTGGGAGATCGAGGTGCCAAAGGTCAGCCATCGTAGACGAGATGAGGGCCGCACGCCGTTGTGCCGTTTCAGCTCCACTTTGCTCTGCAACGATAGGCCACTTCACGGTTTTCGGCCCCCTTTTTCACCAGACTGCAAATGGTCTGGTTGTTGTTAGCAAACAACTACTTTTGAGAGACATTAGTGGGTTTTCCACTTATCCCTACTTGGCACGAACCCTGTTCACTCTGCTTGTTTCTTTTTTGTTTTTGTTTTTTTTGCATATCCTTCTGGGGCTGGTGCTTCCTAACAGTAACAATTGTAGCACCTACGCAGCCGGAATCCCGCTGGCAAACTGCCGACTGCTGATTGGATAGGGAGTCGCGTCAGTCTGTGAATGATTTTTTTTTTTTTTTTCACACCAAAACCCCATAAATAAGACAGCCCTTGAATGTTCTCACAATGGGGGCAGTAAAGATAGGAGTACAGAATTGACAAACATGTGCAGATTGTTCTCTCAAATATGTGAGCATTGCTATGAAGGTCCTAAAAACAACAGTATTTATACTCGACAAACAACAACGCAGTCATCCTAATTTAAATTTGCCTCTCTGTACCAGCATCTTGTAGGCCGGCTGATTGGGAAGCAAGGGAGATATGTGAGTTTCCTGAAGCAGAATTCTGGTGCAAAGATCTACATTTCCACTTTGCCTTATACACAGGAGTTCCAGATCTGTCACATAGAGGGTAAATATGGATGAACTTGTTCAAAGCATACTTTCACATCCCTGGAAGGCTCTTGCATAGGAAGTTGATTGTTTTTTTTACGCTCAGAGAAAAAAATGTCAGACCTCAGCTCGTCCTTCCTGCCGCGGGTGTGGACGGGAAGAGTAAAGTCTTGTTTGGTCTGTCTCCAGGTGTACAGCAGCAGGTTGACAAAGCCCTGGCACTCATTGGCAAGAAGTTCAAAGACCTGGACTTGACCAATTTGTACGCCCCTCCTCCACCCCCGCTCACATTGCCATCGCTTCCAATGACTTCTTGGGTAAGCGATAAGTTCTGTTGTCTCGGTAACCCTACAAACGCCCTTGTACTGTTTTTTTTTGTTTTTTGTGGAAGGTGGACTGAATCATGGAATGGGCTTACGCTAAACCTAAACTTTCCTTCCCCACCCTTTTGTCTCGACAGCTCCTGCTCCCCAGCGGAGTGACGGTCGAGGTGATCGTGGTCAACATCGTATCGGCCGGCCACATCTTCGTCCAGCAGCACACACACCCCACCTACCATGCCCTGCGAAGTCTGGACCAGCAGATGTTCCTGTGCTACTCGCAGCCGGGCACTCCCGCGCTGCCCTCGCCCGCTGAAGGTGAGGCGCGGGGGCAAAAAAAGTCCCCGAGTCAGAGTCGGCTATATTTCCAGCTCTGTAATACGCGCTCAGATGTATTCAGAATGGAAATGTTGGACTCCCAGTGGACACAGTAAAAATTTGAAATAGCCCGGCGTGATCTCAATTCCGTGGGGTAGGACGGGTTGGCAAATGAAGTTTTAATATCAAATACATGCATAATAAACCGGGAATCGACAAAAAAAAAGTTTTCGTTTGAAATTCATCGTCGCGGCATCTAATGTTGTATTATAGCACGACAACGGCGTTCCAAGCAATCTCTTTACAAACGATTTTTTATATGTTGATTTCCAAATATGCACCCAACGTGATGCCAGGCTACGAAGACATTTTCGGATTTAGTGTCCTTGGGTCCTTTTGATCAGGGCTAACAGCTTTTCAGAGTCGTTAGCCCTGCTGGCTAATACCAAATTCCCACGAATTTTGAACCCTGATAAAAGCAAGTCTTAATATAAGAAATATGAAATAGCATAAGTAGAAGCTATGTTTCATGTGCAAATAAAACAAACGGTAAACTGTAAGTATAAATATAATGTGCAGTGGGGGAAAAATAAGCAGTGTTTAACAATAGCTCCTAACTGGTTAGAGTATGATGCATAGATAGTCCAAAGAGGAGGAGGGGGGGGGGGGGGGGGGGGGGGGGGGGGGGTTCATTGGTTCAGTCATTCGGTGCACACAACCAAATTGGCGACCTTTACATATTAGACAAGTAAGACGCAGTCCAGCTACACACTATGGGACACCTGCTGTTATTTCTTCCCCGAGTTCCCCGGCACTCACCATGCCGTGTCTTTTGGCTGCCCTCTTCCCAGTCGGCGTCATCTGCGCGGCGCCAGCAGTGGAGGGAGCCTGGTGGAGAGCGCAGGTCATCACCTTTTACAAAGAAACCAACGAGGTGGAAATTCGATACGTGGACTACGGCGGCTACGACAGAGTTAAGATCGATTCGCTGAGGCAAATCAGGCAAGTATCAGATGTCGGGCTGCGTTCAGTTGGTTAATACTTGTGGTAAAAATAAAAATAAAGTTTTGGCCCGTCTCCAATTGTGTTCAGTCGGCCGGCCACATCTGTGTTCAGTGTCTTTACCAAACTTACCAAACAACACTTTTATTTTGTCAATGGAGATTCTGTGTTTGAATTTAGCTTAATCCTGATTGGGGAAAGAAGAAGCCGTAAATCAGTTTCATGAATTTGGTTTTTTATCCGACATTTACATTTCATCGGGTTTTTAACGTTTGATCTTTCCCAGTGTTATGTGAACCAAAAGCTGGATTAATGTCGGAATGGCTCAGGTTTTTGGATTAGGGCACATTCGGTGAAGGTTGCACAAGCTGCTTCTCAGTGAAATGTGTCATTATGGAGCTAGTGATGCAGGAGGAAACAGGAAGAGATTAATATGGTGCCATTTGTACATTTAAAGACTAATTTAACTGAAGAACTGTCATGAATAGAAATACCTGTTAAGTGACACCATCACTCTCTTCTGCTTCCACTATTAGCCCTAATAGTGGCAAAAGCTCTGCTTAAAAAAAGAGTGATAAACTAACTACAGATTGTGAATGGAAAAAACACAGAATAAACGGATTGTTCCATTTTATCTTCTAGGTCGGATTTTGTAACACTACCGTTTCAAGGTGCTGAAGTATTGCTCGACAACATTGCCCCACTTCCAGGTACAGTACTCGTGTTATGAAGTCATTATTAAGATTTTTTTTGTCGGTTTATGTTATGTTATAACCTGTACACATGGTGCCATTCTTATTTGGATATCTGGCTTTTGAATTCTCTACTTCTTTTAAAGTCTTGTACAACTAGTCCCATTTTCTATTTTGTGTGAAAAATTATCCAAAATATTTGTATTCATATTCAAACTTTAAAAAGCCTTTTCTTCTCAATGTGTTTGTGTGAATCTTTTTGTGTTTCCAACCCTCTCCCTTATGAACAACTTATTCTTAAAACCGTATAAAGCAGGTAATCCATCAAATCAATAATTGGGGCCAAATATTGTTGGCATTATTTAATTTGAAACGCCTACTCGTGTAAAATTCAAGCTCACCAAGAATTTTTATTGTTTTTTCTCCTCACAATTGCTTTACTTCCTCTGCAGCGTTTCTTTAATTTATCATTTAAAATGCTTTTGTCAGGAGAGGATCGCTTCTCGGCAGACGCAACCACAGCATTCGAGGAAATGACCAGAGGCATGGCCCTGCTCGCACAAGTCAGTACCCAGATCTTCAGTTGACCTCGTCGGCGCGACCCAAGTAGCTACAGCTCACCGGCTCAGTGTGTTTGTCTTTCTTTTGAAGGTCTCAAACTATGATAACAACACTGGCCTCCCGCTGGTCCACCTGTGGAACATGGTCGGAGATGAGGTACAGTGTTCGGTTTCACTGGGTTTTGCCTTTATTTGGAAGTGGGAATGAGCTGCTTAGAACGGGTGTTCTCCATTCTGGTCACACAAAGCCAGATATCTTTGTTTCAAGACACTGTAGAGGAAATTTACTAATTCCCCTTACAAATCTGAAGATTTCTGCTTGCACAATAATAATCATTTTCAGAAAAAATTGATTTTAGCCAGATTTTTAGGTTTCTGAGAGAATCTGAAGGTGGCCGATGACACTTTCTCTCTGTTTCTGTGGAGCACGGACAAAAGATTTCAGTTCTGTCCGAATTGAACTGGAGAAAGTTGTTCTGCATCCATGATAAACCTACAGGCCCGAGTTCTCCTGATTTCAGCCACACATTAAACCTGGGTGTCATCTGCATAGTTGTGATTGTCTTTCCTCCAGCTGCCAGAAAGCCATCACCTATTGTCTGGCGAATCCCCAACTTCTGCCCCACAGCAATAGTTTAAAAACCAGGATTTTGAAACGGTCTCATTCCCAAATCGCGTTTCAAATAACAGCTTAATTGCAATTTCAAGGAGGGGACAGTTAGAAGCTCCAGATGGATAAAAAGAGAGAATATCTGCCCGCCTATTGAATGCCTTTTTTCCTCTTGCAGGTGGTTTCGGTGAACCGCGCGTTGGCAGAGAGGGCCCTGGCTGTATGGGTGGACGGATTTTGAACTCCCGATGTGGTTTCGGTTCCAGATAACTCCCCCACCTCCCCCCCGCTCCCTTTATTGGCTTCTGGTCGGCAGTCCGGGCCACAGGTCGTCCCGGGGATCCAGACCCCACAAGACCCCAACGTGGTCCGAGAAGATTGTCTTTCGTTTTTTCTCTTTTTCAGTTGTGCTCATCCCCCCCACCCCACCTCCCCCCACCCCTTTGAACACAAATTAAACCTTGCTTTCAGGCAAAAACAAAACAAAAAAACGACATGAACGAAGCACTTCTTCGAATAAGATGAGCCTTTTCTCTTCTTGTCCACAACGTACATCAAGAAGAAAAGGAAGAGGTTCTTGTCATTTTTAAAAGAAAATCTATATTGTAAGAAAAATAAAGGTACATCAAATATTTTTTTAGCCCCATTCTACTTTAATATATGCTCTGGGTCTTTGCACACAGACTGTGGATCATCTGCATGGAAGGACGTGGCAATTCACTGGTTGTGTGTCCAGTTACAAGTAGGCTGATGTGGGGGTGGAGGAGGCGACTCAAAGGGAGGCGTCCTGTGGCCTCCGCAGGGACTCTGTCTGGACTTTTTACCTGAGAAGACTGAGGAACGAACCATTTGCCTATTTTCTTTTTTTTTTCTTCTTTTTTTAAACCCCCCACCCCCACCTCTGACATACACTACATTAGAAGAAATGGGAAATGTATTGTACGACACCAAATGCACTTGAACTTAATTGCTTTTGTTTTTTTGTTTTTCCCTTTTGTTTTTCTAAACTGACACTGAGCTGTGCATAACTATGTCTTCTTTATGTTTAATTTGCATTTTGCTGACTGAGACTACTTGCAAATGAGAAAAGGGGCCGGAGTGGCAACCCCCTTCGCGCCGGGCTCCGTTTGAAATGACCGGGGTAGCTGCACGCATCTTCTCTGCCTTTGGTGGAACCCTCCCCCCCTTCAAATATCCACCTTTAGTGGGCTAAAACTCTAAAAGCTCCTCTGTTCTGCTCCGGTCCACGGTCGGAAAGGCTTGATGGAACCATAACGCAGTCAGATGGGGATTTTTCAGCTGTTAAAACACCAGACAGCCTGTGTTTCTACAGGGCAGTCCAAAGGGAATTCAGCTGCTCGCCGTCTTGTTAAATAGTTTCCATATTTTTGGAGTTCGTCGACACCAAACCCACCTGAGAAGCTTATTGGCTCCGAAACCACGAGCTTTACAATGTAGAATGGAGGATTAGACTCCATCACTGACCCATTTGTGTCCAGCTTCGGGGAGCGTTTGCATGTGGCCGGTGGCCCTAAACGTCCAGGGGAAGATGGCCGCCCCCTGTACCTCAGTGTGGCTGAGGGAGTTTATCAGCCAACCGTTATCCTAGGAGCCGGGTCATGTGAAATGGCGGCGTTAACAAATGCAAACCGCAGCTAACTGGAGAACTTCACACTACTCCAGACTGCCACCGCGTCAATGTCCAAGGCAGCGAAACCAAGAAATGTAAATAATATAAACAACTTGAAGAGTCAAAAATGTTTTTAAAAAAATGAGATTAACCTCAATGTCAAAAGTGAAAATCCATGCCTTTTAGTGTAATTGACCTCCACCATTAATTCTAATTTGAACATCTGGGCTCTCCTTCACATCTGGTGTCGACTGAAATCAGACGATCCACGTTTCTACAGAACATCCAGAGTGTGTGTTAGAAAGGAAAAGTAGGCAACACAACAATCTATTTATTTTTTCGCTTAAACACTGAGTGCTACCGATTTGAACAAGTTGAATAGAACAGTCCCAAATGGTCCAATAGCTAGAACCCCATCGTCTTGAGGTCGCCCCTGACATGTTCATCTGGTAACGTTCTCCATTTAAACGAGGTTCCTTGATAAGCTGGTTCATCGTCGTCTGGAAAGAATCCATTCACGACGAGTTGAATCAGTTTACCGTCCAACCAGCACATGAATTCCCGCGGAAAACTGGGAGATTTTCTCTGGTCAAAACCCATCAGAAAGCCTGTGAGCTTTGGCTGTTGCTACGAGATGAACGATTAGTGAATCTTGGCAGAAACTTGAAGATGAAATTGACTTTTAAGGTGCAAAATTGGGAGATGAGTGGATTAGAATGAAGGAAGTCCTCCATCAATGCACAGTGTCGCACTGAAATCAGCATGTGATTTTTTTTGTTTTTCTTGCCCGTGGACTGTAGAAAGAATCAATTTGTCCCTTTGATCACAGTAATTATTCAGCAATGTCTAATTCGATTGAAGGGGCCGAATCAACCCCATCAAATATTCAGTTTCTAATTGAAGCAATACCGCAGAATCTATACACTTAAATATGTGTATATGTATATACATATATGTATACATGTGTATATATGTATATAAGTAAATGTGTACATATATATATGTACGTATGTGTATATATATATATGTATGTTTTTATATACATGTGTGTATGTCAGTGTGTATATGTGTGTATTGCTACAATATAGAGATTATGTCATAGCTCAAGCAATAAGACGGCTTGAATTATCAGGATGTCGGGGGACGAGGCTTTAATGGTTTTATTTGGTTAGGAAAGTGTGCTGTAAAGGATGTTAAACATACCTCAGGAACGCGTCATTCGGAGGTCGATCAATGGATCCGTTTGCCTTAGACAGCTTCTTGATGAGAAAGGGGACAGTTGTGCTAGTAACTATACGATTGCCGCGTTTAGACTCAGATACTTTCACAGGATAAACACACAAGACCGGTACAAGATGTCCAGGAACATAAATACACGTCGGTGCTGGGTTTGGAGCAGTAGCCATAAATATCTGTTGGCTCTTTTGCATCCTCTGTGTTCCACATTTGCTTTTATTCATCTTTTTTTTTCTTTTTTTTTTGTCTGTGACAACCAGATTGAGTATACCATGCCCCTAAAATCCCTTCACTACACCATTGAGAATCAAAGAAAAGTTTTTTTTCTCATTTCTCTGTAAATAAGATATCTGACTGACTGTACTTTTCTATAACACTGGAGAGAAAAAAGATATAAAGGGAACATTATTTTGCTATGGTTTATTCTGGTTCATTCTAATTCCCCTCTTGCTGAGACTGTCAAGTGTTGCTTACCTAGATGAGTCATACTATGATTATTTAAATGGGTGTAAAGCAGCCGTGCTTGAAGGCATTTAACATGTACAGATCCAGTTTTTGCAAGGCTCATCTTAAATTTTGATTTGTTGATTGTACAGATCTCATAGGGAAAAAAAATAAAAGTTATTAAAGTGTGTT